TACATGTGACGAAAATACATATTCTGAGTACTAATTGTGAGTATATGTATTCTAACTTTCATAAATTTAAGATGCACTATGTAACTTTTTGGCTGGGGGTCCATCACATGCATGTTTCTATGGTTATGTCATTGCTCTGCCTGGAATGTTCCACAGTATGACTTTATACATTTCTGCCTTACATTGATTAAATTACAGGTGGTTTTATAGCTCAAAAATACCCAGAAAAACAGGCATTCTGATAGTAAGCGGGGTCGCCTTTCCACAGATCTGACCTGTAACGTGGTCTGGTTTGGTCTCCCTGAGTATAGAAAGGTTTAATACCATACTGTGAAACATTCCAGTCAAAGTATTATGTCTCTTTGGAGAACAGCATTTGACGGGCCCTGCACCAGAAAAGCTACACAATACACCTTTAAAAATGAATACATGGTGGTACTTCGTTATATAATTAAATTTTGAGCTGCATAGTATTAGTGAGAAATATTGGAGAGTCATCAGTTTTTCATCTCTAGTTAGACATAATTAATGCATACTAACAAAAATAATGTTGTTTGTAATTTTTTTTTTTTACACTATAATATATTGCAACTCCGCATTAAAGTATTCTAAGTTTTCAGAATTCAGTACTCTGATTGAACCATGGGGAAATATGTTGCAAAGTACTTTCTAATTAGCATTCTTCCCATCACTGTTTATAAATAGAGAAAATAGAGTACGTACAAGCAGAGGTGGTGCTGCCATTAGGCAAAAGTAGGCGGCTGCCTAGGGCCCCCAACCAATTTGCCCTCAGTGCAAGTAATGGCCGAGGCAATTTGATTTTCTCTCGATGACATTAAATTAGAGTAGTTTACTTTTAAACAATAATCATAAGAAAAATAATCATAATCATATATAATGGATGTAAACAAAAATGTAATTATACTAGCAAAAAAATAAAACTACTTTCAGCACTAGTTATCTAGTAGGCTACTGAACTAAGTTTCTAATCCACCATAATTCAAATAAATAGAGATGCACATGTCTCAAGAACAATGGGGAAAATAGACAATAAATATATATATTAAAAAAATAGCAAAAAAACCCCAAAACTGCATTATAATGATGGCCCCAAACTCAAGTTCGCCTAGGGCCCCCAAATTGCTATCTCCGCCACTGCGTAGAAGTTTCATTTCATTTCTCTTGTACAGTACAGTGCAGTTTACGCCTCCATTCCCAAATATAGGAAACTGTAAAGTCCTAAATCTCAAAATATTTTCAACCGACTGAATTATTGAAAATGATTGTGAATTTCTTGTTGTATTGTCAAATGGTGATTCTGAGAAACACCTGTGCAGAAATTGGCTCCTTTAATCAGCATCTCCATCATTCTCAACAGGAAGCGTTTGATTAAAGGTGAAACTCTTCAGCCTGTAGAAGCTTGTCTTAGCAACAAGAGCTCATCCTTTCTGATCACATTGGCTTTTAAACTGTGAAGACAAATTACACACAATTAAACAGAGATACGTGAAGTAAAGTATCCATTGCGATACCTCTAACATGATGCTGGATTTTCCATTTACATTAAAACCACCAACGTAGCTCTTTCAAACAAGGTAAGTGTCTGTAAAACTCTCCCTCCTCCTTGTATTTGACCACTTTACTTATGTTTACATGAGTGGGAGTTCTTCAAGGGGGCACCCATAAATTAATTATGGCTCCCAGAAGACTAGCAAAATCCTCTTAGGTCATTTAAAGCACAGTTTCTCCGCAAAAAACATTCATACTGTAACCATAGTGTAGCGATGTATTTGCATTATTATTTTTATATAACATTAATTGACATATATTCTTCCTCTATGCAAAACATGCTTCATCAGATTCAATAAATCCCACAAATGAAGCTGTTACTTATAGATATATAATGAACAGATTAGGTTAGCTCAATGTCATACCTTACAAAGATGGCTTCTCTCAGACAGGTCACCATCCATCAACTTCCCGTCTTCCGCCTGTTTCACCATAATCTCATTTAGCCGTTCACCAGTGATGTTCTTTCCACTATGAACAAATGATAATGAAGAGTCATTTTCAGAGCTCAATTGAATCGGGAAGCAACGCCCAACACCTTAATAATAGAAACTCCCTTTTACAGTATGTACCTTTTTTACACTCAAATGCAACAATAATACAACACAGAAGAAGAACGGAAATCTCTCTATATAATTATTATATTATTGCACATATACACTAGGGATGTAACGATATCCAAATTTCTCTGTACAATATTTTCACATTATGCATCTCACGGTATGATATTTATTGCAATATTTTATACAGGCAAACAAAATTGAGAATACTGTACTACTTTTTCCTTTAAAAATGCCTTGACAAGCCTTTGCTTTGTCATAAACCAAAGAGTTAAGATTTAAAAGTGCTTAATAATAGTTATTTCATCGTGTAAATTGGACTGAAAAAGAGCAAAGAATTGTTGTATTTGTAGTTCCCTCTGTTTCTTTTAGCTACAGTCATCCCCCACTATAACGCAGTTCACCTTTTAAGAGCAGTTTTTTGTTTTTTTTTTTTTTTACAGTGGATGAACACTCCCTAATGTGTGTCTAATAAAAGTGTGTGGTGAGGGGTTTTAAAACATGTATAATAATTGTAATAAATAAAGCTGACTACTTCATGGATTTCACCTGTTGTGGGTTATTTTTAGAACGTAACCCCCGCGATAAACGAGGGACCACTATATTGCTGCACCATAACAATGAGTTTAAGCAAAAAGACTTGAGATTCGATATACTGTGCCACTCCAAGATACAATTGTGAGACTTTTGACAATACACTATCATGATATTTCGGTTGTTGTTACGTCCCTCTGACCAAATAACAGTGAAATCAAAATTCTTGAATGATTAAGTGAAGTTAATGCAGCATAAACAGTGACTTTTTTAGGGTATAGATTGAAATTAACTTACTAATTAAAGGGGCATTGTGTAATTTTCTGGTTAGGGGTCCATCACCTGCTTGTTACTATGAATATGTCATTGCTTTACCTGGAATGTTCTACAGTATGACATTAAACAGCTCTACCTTACATTTATTAAATTGCAGGTGGTTTTACTGCTCAAAAATACCTAAACCCCCCCCCCCAAAAAACAGGCATTCTGACTGTGAGCTGGGTCACCTCTCCACAGATCTGACCTGTAACTTGGTCTGGTTTGGTCTCTATGAAGATAGAAAGATTTATCCAAGAAGAAAAGCATTTGATGAACCCTCCACCAGAAAAGTTACACAACGTAAACCTAACATAACACTTAATTATACTTCTAAAATTCTCACAATTATACATCTTTTTTATTTATTTTTTGTGACCTGAATCTCTCTACAATATTACGTTTTTGAGTAGGACAAAAAAAGTAACCGGACTAGAAAAGCACTCAGAGAGCGCAGACCTCCGCCAAGGACTACCCCCATTTTTTATATAAATTGCGATAAAATCAGTTTTCTGGATCAGATCCGGATCAGCCTTTGGAATATGAAAGAGGATCCCATTGTCCATCCCTGAGTCAAATTTCATGGGGTTTGGTCAATAATTAACAGAGATATTGAGAAACAAAATTTTTGGCCCATTTACCACAAAGTTAACTAAAATTTCAAAGTGATCCAGAATCCAGGATTTCTTCCGGATCACCCCCAAAATGAAATCAGTTCTTCCTTTTCACATTTCCAACAAATCCTGAAAATATCATCAAAATCGGTCCATAACTTTTTGAGTTATGTTGCTAACAGACAAACAAACAAACAAACAGACAAACTCCGGCAAAAACATAACCTCCTTGGCAGAGGTAAATATAATTGTACCCTTGTATAATAAAGCTGCGGATTTATCGGATGTTGACATATTTACACTGGATGTGCCCTTGTTCTGATTATGTTGATTCTATTGAGACAGATGTTTCCAGTGTGAAAGTGCAGAGGAAGTGGGATTTAGAGGAATGTAAGAAAATAAATAAAAGTAGAGATCTGACCAAATATGTCAACTTTAACTTTACAGAGGCCTTAGGTTTAAGTTAAACACAGACATGAGAATTGGAGCTCCCAAGAGGTGTCCTTAAGTGTCACCCATATTAGCCCCATAACAGGGACAGACATGGAGAGACGGGGGCGGAGCTTCAGGGTTTGTAACATTCTCATCGCTTCGGTTTGAGCAGAAGAATCAGCTTCATGTCAAGTCTCCACACAAAATTCCCAATCCTCCGGTAAGATATTTTTACTTCTTTTTAAACTAAAGAACAAAAACTAAATCTTCTTTTTACTGGGTATTTTGAACCCAAACATGCAGGTCAAAGTAAGTTCTGCCTTAATTTTAACTACATAAATTATGGAGAAGAAGCTATGATTTGTTATTATTAGTTATTATTAGTGACATGATTGTTTTAACATTAATGTGTAAGCCGGTTGACAGTTCATAGACTTTTAATTTACCCCAAAGCAATGAAAATTTAAGACCAACTTAGAAATCATTTGAGTCTTTAAAATAAGACATATGCTATTTTATCAAAGACGTTATTTTACTTGTAAGTCTAAGTATTAAAAGTCTAAATTTAAAAGCGTTTGCACTGAAGAATTATTTATACCAATACTTTTTCTGAAGCCCTTCTAAACTTTAATTACTTCAGAATGTCAAACTTGAACTGAATGAAATAAAATACTGTCGATTCATTATGTATCCACACTTCCTTTCACAGAAGTTTGATTCTCTGTAGGCTGATACATACAAGTTAACACTTCTAGTCTAATTTGTTTATCTGTCAAGGCTAATTCACTTATTTACTGCATGTGGCTATTATGTCATGATGATTTCCTCTTTCTTCCTTGCAGAAATAGGCTGCTCCCGGCTAATGTAGACGGACCACCAACCAGAACTGCCACTTTCTTTGTAAATAAATTATTGGAGCTTCGAAAAGGGACTCCAGGCTCCTCTCTTCAGACTGACCGACTCCATCTGAAGAACCATGTCAGCCATAGAGCTGTACAAACGATTAATGGACAACTGTGGCAAACAGCTCAACTGTAATGACTCTTTTAACACTAGTTTTGGGGGTCTTTTGCAGATTTCTGATGATGGCTCTCCCTGGCTCAGAACAGTCATTTCGATAGTCTATTTTGTGGTCGCAACTACTGGAGTTTTTGGGAACCTCTTAGTTATGTTCCTACTTTATTCGACACGCACAATTACTACAGGCAACATCAATTTCTTCGTGTTTAACTTGGCCTTGGCTGACTTCCTGTTCTCTCTGGCGTTGCCGTTTTGGGCTGTGGACATCGCCATGGACTACAGCTGGCCTTTCGGATTGGCTGCGTGTAAAGCTGTCTCTTTGCTTACAGGCCTGAATGTCTTTGCCAGTTGTTTCTTTCTCACCGCTATGAGTTTGGCGAGGTACTGCTACGTAGCCACCGCTCTCAAACCCAAGTCTTGCATTGGGTCATACACGTTTCCCCTGGCAACGGCTTTGATATGGGCAGGAGCGCTCATAGTGTCAATGCCTCGAGCTGTTTTTGCTGATCTAAAACACATTGGTAGCAATAATGATACAGCATGCCTGCTTCGGTTCCCTGAAACAACATGGCTTGGACTAAACCAGCTTTTAAGGGTAGTCCTTGGATTCCTACTTCCCTATAGTATCATGATCCCATCCTATCTACTTCTCCTTCGATTTCTCTGTCAACACAAACCAAAGGGTACGAATTCCACAAGAAACACAGACATTTCAAAGTCTGTTGCAGTGGTGGTCTTATCTTTTTGCGCTTGTTGGTTTCCCTATAATGTCCTCACTTTCTGGACTATCCTCATACAGTTTGATCTTGTAGACATAAGTCAGTCTTTCTATTCGGCTCAAACTTACTTTTTTCCCATTGCAAACTGCTTGGCATTTAGCAGCAGTTGCTTCAACCCGGTCATCTACTGCCTAGTTCGGAAAGAGTACCGTGCGGCTCTCCAAAAGTTCAGTCTTGTGTCCCTAATGTCCAAAGTCCCCTACAATGTGCACTCAGAGCCAGGACTGGGACAAGCTGGTCCGTTAACTATTCAGTTAAATACCAGGTGCAGCCAGACAACAGACTCCAGGACCTATGAGCCCCTTCTTACTCTGCCCACAACAGTCTCCAACATGTAACGGTAAACGAAGCACTACTGTGTATAAGGGATGGACCAGTGTTTGTAGTAAAGTAATCAAGATCTTCAAATATCCTCATATTATCATATGTCGTGTGCAATTTTGTGAACTAGTTTCAGTTTTGCTGTGGTATTGAAAGACACATGTAAATGTTACGCTCATGGTGTGGGTTATTGTCTCGGTGCCATACATTGAATACCTATACTAAATACACCTATGAAATTACAATGAAGCATTCATGTACATTTGTTCATTTTGTTTTTGTTCATTTAAAATACTGAATTTGATGAAAGATTTTGATTATGTTGTAAAAAGAAAATAAGTAATGCCTTCACTCTGAATTAACGCTAAATATTTTTGGTATAAGTTAATAATACATAGAGTTTAAACGGTAACATTATGGTCTCATACCAAACATACAACATTATGTTGTATGTTTGGTATGAGACCATAGGTCACTCAACACAAATAGATGTCAAAGTTTGAGAGATACAGAATTATCTGCACAAGGCATTAACAATTGTGTATATTAACATTGGAAATTTAGAATTGTGAGTGAAAGAGATCACAGAAGTACAGATTATAATTGTAGAATTTATTTCTCTATTTAAATCACTCAGAATCACCTGAAAAATGAGTACATTCCCTTTGTTCAAACCAAAATCATATCAATCAAGTACACTAATAATAGTAATCATAAATATAATTACAAGCGCAATCATACCTACAATAAGTACCATTATAAATCAAATTACCAACATTACACATCCACCTTACAACACTGGGGGCTGAGGGTATGGCTTATCCATGGGGCATGGCTTATTTCAACTGAAATGTCCAGTAAAAAATAAAGTATTACATCCAGTAGGCCCAATTCAAGTCAGAAAATCACCAAGTTCAATTGAGACACAGCTGATCAAATGTGCAGAATAATAGCTGCCAGGAACAAAACAGTAGATTCATCCCCAAATGCTATACATGTATTGTATAAACATGAATGTGATTTCATAAATATCAGTTCAGTACAAGATATAATACTCCATTATTAGGTCCATAGATTAATAAGGATTTATAGACTGTATATACTTCATTACACTCAATAAATAGCAATCTATTTTAATATTAATATTTGTCAATTTAGTGTTTAAACTCATTTCTATAAGTCTATTTCTATAAGTACGTTGTCGCATTGCAAGTATTGTGTTGTTATATTTTTGTGCTTTTGGGTTTTAAAGTATAAAGAAAAGCTAAAATACTTGAGTGTTTCTACTAGCATCTAAGCATCTGACAAATACATTTGAGTCTGAATATGAATGTACAGTAATGGCACTTAAATACTAGAGTAAACAGGACACACTTTAAATGGTCTTGTGATCCTTAAAATAGCAAACATCTAATGTATCAGGAAAATTGTGAATAAATAAAATTCTCATAATAGTACTGCCTCTGTTTCTACTAACAAAATAAATAGATGTTGTTCAAGCTTTAGTGATAAACATTTGTAATTCAGAGGTAGGGCACCGCTAAGATCTCCAATGTTTGCATAGCCACCATTTTGGTAAGGTCAAGAATATGATATAAAAAGTATTTGCTTATTTCAGCGATTTAAATTTAAAAGTACAATGTGATGGGTATGTGTATAAATAGTATCCTACGCTGTGCCATTGTGAGAAAAGGCCAATACTGACTTAAGCTCCAAGAGGCAAGCAAACATCCAAGCTTTTCATTTTTTCTTATACTGTGTCACTAATGTAAATAGGCTATATTGTTTTTTTCTGACCTTCCCAATATGGCGGCTATTCCCCTAATTTGTTCTATAATATGTGTATGGGACACTGTATCACTAGAGCTTGTATAAATAAATCCCTTTGAGTATATGGATGTATATATATTTCTATTCTGAAGATTATAAATTGCAGCCTCTCATGAAACAAATATGCAATAATAAATGTTAAAATACTGTATTGCAATGCAGGCCAAATAAACATTGAAACGGTAGTGCTTAAAACTGCAACCCAGTGTTGTTCAAAGCACTGTTTTGGTCACACTTACAGTTATTGGGATATTTGAGATTATGTTTGTTGAACTGAAATGCTGTGCTATGTTCTAAATAAAGTCATTTCTCATCCCATGAACGCAGTCACTCCATAGCACTGTAGTTTCTGGATTGCAGCATTAAGAGTGGTAAATATTCAGTATCACACAACATGCCAGAAGGCCTACCCTTTTATATGAATACATTTACATATAAGAATAGATATACATGAAGGTATTTTATACATTTGTGGTAAACATTGATATTTATTTTTAAATAAATTGATCTTTTTAAAGGCAAAGAGGTTAAAATAAATTATATTAACCATGAAATTTGTAATAAATGATTTGAACATAAACACACTGCTTTTTATTTCATCACCTGACTACAAAAGACGCTTATTGTACAAATTTTACAGGTTGTATTGGCATTGTTATTTCAGGCCAAGTGGCACAGACTGTAAGGCAGTCATATCCTATGCACATATATACTACATGTTTGAATACTCCTGCGTTTTTCTTCCCTTGTTTTGGTTAGTCTGTCACTGTGTCTCCGTTCAGACCAAGAATGGAAAAATGTCACTTCTGACCAGTAGTCAGCATGGTAGAAAAGCTGTGTTCCAGTAAAAGAACCACATTATCGGTGTAATAGGATGCACATGCAGCACCTATCCATGAGTGTCACTAGAGATGAGCATTTCCCGATCTCTATCATGAGTTCATTCTGCTTATTCAGATTTCAGATACTCACAGCCATTAAAAAGAACTAAAATGGCTCCAATGAATTGTCAAAAGAAAAATCCTCAGCCAAAATAATAGATGGTACAATGGCTTCAATGATGGTCACCAAAACTAGTTTTGGATTTGTCTACATGTAAAAACTCTCAGTTCTTGTTGCTCTGCAAATTGTTCCAGGCGTCTCACTTTAGACATTCAAATCACTCTCTACCCTGATTGGTACAACACCAGAGGTGTCCCTTATACCCTGTATTCATGGTTTTTAATTGTTATAATGATTAGATTACAATAATAGATTGTTTTGTGCTATAATGCCTTTATATAATTCTTATTTTCACAAAAATAGTTGATGTGGCCAGCTTAGCAACAATCTGGACAAAGGTAGTTTTTTTAGGAGAAAACCAATATATTTGTCAAAAATGTCAAATGGTCTACAGTTTAAAAGCATCCAATGGTTAGTGTCATTTTGGTACAAATGACAATAAATTGTAAATATGCTCTAAGAGTTATACATCTGTTTAACTGACCAAAAAAAAACTAACCAAACTATGTCTATTTTTTTGTGTGGTGAATAAATTTTTTTTTGATTCCATGCATGTCAAAAATATGTACATGCATGTTTTTGTATGGTATAAAAATATGGCCTTTAATAACAAAAAACTATAGTGAAATGTTCCCACTTGTACTTGTATTAGTTGATGGCTCTCTAATGAGTAACAACATGCTTTGTGCATGTCACAGTAGTCACCATGTGGTGCAGTGTGCTTAAAGATTCATTTGGATGAAAACACAATGGCCATGCTCTTGTTACTCGTATGGTACACAAATAAACATCTTTAGGTATTGCCATTATTTACAGTGGCATTGGCTTTTATTTGAGTGATCTCTCATTGGTCCTCGCACTAAAGTGATTGTCAAGTTGTGGTACAGGCATTTTTTTGGAAATGTGCAAAGTCTCTGAAGGATGTGATGAGATGAAGCCTTCGGGAGACCCCCTGGATCCACTGCAGAGCTGGAGTCCTTTACACGCGGGTGACCATCATGTACTCTGGCAGTCAGGATCCATAGCCCTGGCTGATAGACTGAAAACACAGACGTATACAAAATGAATTAGTGCATAGAGCATTAGGTAAATATGTTTACATTAGCTTTAGACTTTGGACAGGGAGGGGCGTTCACACAATACACTACACATTTATATGTGATTTTTTTCAGTGCACAAAACAGAAAGTGATGATACAGGCCACTGTGGAGGACTTGCATCTTTTACCTCAAAGTATAGGCATTACAATATTAAAACTGCACGGTTTAATATTTTTAGTTTCATAATTCTATTGTTCATAATTTCTTTCTCAGTTGTTTGATAAAAACAATAGCAGCCTCACCATTTCTATAAATGAGGTCTTTGAGGGATGTAGTCTGTTTGCCTGGTATATTGCAGTTTAGAGACTTGTATAAGAAAGCTGGAGAGACAGCAGGTTTTAAGGAGAGCAAATGTTGTTCTCTGGAGCTATTTCAGCACAAAGATGGTGCAGAGACAGCCTCTTCACTCACGTCACAATCCAGCCCACATGAAGCAGCCCTGAAAGAATAACTGTGACGTACTGTGAGTCATGCTCAAGGCTTTTCCATGAATACACAATATTTTGCTGTTGCTGCCGGTAAATCATTTCATTTTTTAAGATTTCTTTGGAGAGATAAAATTAGATTGAGACATTTTCACTGTCCTCTGCGGCAAAGTGGTGTTCTTTAATACAGCACAATGGGTCAGTGGTGAGGTGTATGACAAACTCTGAACAATATAATTTGTCCCGTTGATGTTCCAGGTTTTTTACAGGAACATCCCCACAAAGAGCACCAATTATCACAATATTTTTGATTGTATAAGTGAGATTTCACCCCCAAAAATGCATGTCTGCCCAATTAAATATTTGATCTTGTTGTTGTGTTTTGCTTTTAGGGATATTCCTTAACCACATACGACGTTATAGAAGCTGAGGATGACCACAGAGCAGCACCTTTGGAACCTTCAACCATGTACAGGGTAAGGTGTGACTGTGCCCATTCTTTAGCATTCATTCATTTTTTTATGCACTGAGAACTCTCAATGAGGCTGTTCTTTGTGGGGATGTTCCTGGAAAAACAACAAAAGAGTCTTAACCTGTAACATCAACAACAGAGAAACAGATTATCGAACACACTCAGCCATGCCTGCTCTGTGTTGGGTGAATGCTGTGAATGTGATAGAAATGATGCGACTGATTTGAGGAGATGGTGAAGATGTAGACACAGGCACAAACCTGGTCTGTGAGGAATCGAGGCTTAATATCAGGAATGGCACCCACTCTCAGCTCATCCTCCACAGCCATGAGTCTGACAACAGGGAGATACAAACAAACATACCGGTTGACAAAATTCAAATTACAAAGCCGGCATTTTTAAAATTGATATGTAGCCATTTGATGATATTAAGGTCCTGACTTGTTTATTCGCCCACTTAGCTCCATGAATGTGAACCAGTTTGACCAAAGTTCACTTTCAGAGCATAGGGAATGTGTGGTTACAGTGAACTATGCATGTGTATATCAGTACATAATCAATTTCATATTTTTTTAAATTTCTTATTATGCCTAACACATAATAAGGGACATTATCTAATAACGTATTGGAAACAATACTATTTCTGTGCAGTTTAGTTATTAGAAGTTAAAAAAAAAAAATGTCTATAATAGTGCACTTGTCATCACCATGGGCTAAAAGGTCAACTTGTTCCTAATCTTTTAAACGTGTTTTTTCACTGGAAGTCAGTTTTGCCATAAATGGTGATCTTCATTGTGGGATCCATTTCTTTTCATCATTAATCTTTTATATCTGCATTCCTTATGGTGGTTTTAGCATATTTTGGGTACTACCAAAAGTATTTTCTGTCTTTTACTGGCTTGTTTATTGAAAAAAAAATCCATATACTATTTCTATTTCCATTTTATATGATTCAAGCAGTACTTTTAAATCAACACACTAAAACATCTCTACCTCACTGGGGCACAGTTTTAAGGCCAAAACTACAGTTTGATAACAACTTCAGAAAATGATTATGATTAACGCAACATTGAATTATAAACTATGGCTTTAATAATCCATTGGTTACATACAGATTTCCTATATACATTTATGTGCACTATATAACTTTTCTGGTGGAGGATCTGCCGCCTGCTCGTTTCCATAGAGATACGAATGCTTTGCCTGAAATGTTTCACAGTATGACATTAAATATTAAAAGAAGCTGGTGACACCACCAAGTTACAGGTCAGATTGGTGGAGAGGTTCGCCCATTCACTCTGAGAAAACACATTTCACAAGGTATTTTTGAGCAATAAAAACACCTGTTGTAAAATTAATACTGCTTAATGCCACACTGTGAACAGTATTGCAAAGCTCCATGGAGACAAGTAGGTGGAAGGAAAAGTTACAGAGTGCACCTTTATTAACAGCAGCTACATACAGCTTTCATATTATGAGTGAAATGTGTGTTGCTGGGTGAGTATGGAAGGATTACTGTCACTACCAAGTCTTCAGCTTGTTTTTTCTGCAGCACATCAGCAGAAGGACCATCCTGCGTGTGAGCGGCTGATGCAACAGTGAAAGGTAAACAGTAACACAGTAGCCTGGACCCCACTTACCTGCTGATGATGCCTTTGATTTGTGAGTCCTTCTCTAACTGCTGCTGTTTGAGGCGCCTCTCACTGTCCTCCAGTCTGTTCTGATACTGCTGCAGGATCTTATTGGTCTGCTGCTCCTGGGACAGCAGCCGCTGCTCGTACTCCTCCAGCTTTCGGTGGGACATCTTCAGACGCTCCTTCAATGAGTGGATTTCCTCTTCATATTCTTTTACCTACAAAATCAAAGAAAAGGTGAGCTCTGACTGGTCACTAGGGTTGGAACACTAAACAATAATATTGTTTATTGTGATAAAAAGGGTATACAGTGATCATCTGTGGGACAATTTATATAATCGCCAAGATAATCGTCATTTTATAAATATAGAAAAAAAATACTTATCCATCATGACCTCCGCTAGATCATAGTTGTTTTCACTTACAACAAAATACAGTTATATAGAAGTTGTTTAAAATTGGAACTAAGTGATAAGATTAAAATTATAATTTTTCATATCCATAACATTTTTAAACTGTCCACAATAACTTTAATCATTGGGTTATAGTCATTTGGCCATGATAACCATGACATCTAATTTCATCCCATGTTCATAAACAAGTTAAAGCCCCTGTTACTGACTTTGAACCATGAGGGAGGAACATGGTAAAAACTTAAAATGATCCCAGGCAGTCACTTCCAGATGGTTTTCTTCTAGTACATAACTGGTCAAAACGTCTACTCTGAAGCCGGCAGATCAACTCTGTCATGTAGCCCTGACACTAATGCATCTTACAAAACACTAACTTAGAAGCACTTTAGAAAATGGGGATGGGTGGGAATAGTTTTAGAGGCTGCACGGACATCAAATATCTTAAAGTATTTATTGTACTGTTTTTTCTGCTAATAACCTGGACTTGAGTACAAGATTCAGTTTCTGTGTATTTTTTTTACTGAAATGACAAATAAAATCTGATTCTGAAATTGTGTTATCTTCATCACAGTCACATGGCCCAAGATCAGTCTCTTCCTGCTCCAAGAAGATATGTGTGATTTGTTTAGAACTGTTAAGGACAAAATAGATACAGTACAATGTTCATGTCAGTAAGTCATATACCTTACTATATTAAAGACGATAATGAGACAATTCAAACATAAACAATCCAATTTTTTCTTCATTGCAAAGATGCTATCATGCAATTACATTTTGTGTAGTGACTTAAAGTAACAAAGGAAATGCTACGCCACTTGTGCATGGAAACATTCTCACTTGAGAGGTTTGTTGAGAAACTTTGTAACAAACTTCATAATTAAATCAGATGATTGCAGTTTGCTCTTCTACAAAGTGAGAGTCACACCCAGAGCTAATGGATCTTGTTCCAACTTGAAACTTTCCCCAATTTCCATTTTAAAGCCTTTCTTCAAAGAGGCTGTGTTAGTCTAATAATCTCAAATCCTGTATCACAGCAGCTGAAATTATCTTAAAAGCAAATGATTAGAGATGCATTTTGAGATACTTGCTTAACGTGGTATTTTGAGAACATCTAATGCATTTGCTCTCTTCTATTTTTACCGAACAGGAAGAGTGGGAGGATGGGGGGACTGGAGGGGTACTGACCCGGTCGAGCCTGGATTCGTCCATACTTTTGGAGTACTCTTTCAGCTGCCCCTCACGGTCCGGTCTCAGGCTCTCGATGTCCGCAGACAGGTGAGGCATATTGGACACCCAGGCCACCGTACGCTCGTTCATGGTGGTCAAATTGGACTGAGATCCCTGCAATTATAAATATAGATATTAGGGATGGGACAATAAACAATAATATCTTTTATCATGATAAAAAGGGTAGAGAATAATAATTTCGTGGGACATTCTGTATAATCGTGATAATCGCCAAAGATAATCACCATTTTACCAGCAGAATGTGCAGAAAAAAGATACTTAATAATAAAAATAATACATAACACTTGTGTAGCGCTTTTGCTGACACTCAAAGAAGCTTCACACAGTTCAAACAGACAAAACACAAATGACAAAAACAGATAAAAATAAGATGAAAGCATTTAAAGGCAGTTTTCAGCAGGTGTGTTTTTAGGGCTTTTCTGAAGATGGGGAGTGTGGATGAGTCTCTGATGTGTTTGGGGAGGGACTTCCAGAGGGCAGGGGCAACAGTCTTGTCCCCCCAGGTCTTATGTTTAGGCCTGGTGGGGGAAAAGAGGAGGCTGGTGCTAGCTGATCGGAGGGCACAGGTGGGGGTGTGGTGGAGGAGCTCAGGGAGGTAGGTGGGGGCTAGGTTATGGGGAGACTTGTACACAGTTGTGAGGAGCTTGAATCTGATGCGCTGAGGGAGGGGGAGCCAGCGGAGATTATCCAATTGTTTAAATATGGAACCTGTGCATAATATTCAAGTTATCATTATTCATACCTGGGGGTCTAAAAGTACATGTATTCGTGCCGAACCATTTTGGTATAGGATGTTCGGTCCGTTGCAGGGCAGTGCACGAGTGAGGTTGCGCAATTTGTGTGTGTTTACATTCCGCCACTACATATGCAGCTACACAGAAGGCTCAGCTCTTTAATATTCACAGGGGAACTCATCTGTGATTAGGGTGGCAGTGTTTCCTGCAGCGCTTTATAGTTAGCTTAAGACAATAATTGACCCCCGCCTTCACTACGGCCCTCCAAACCAAGTGAACCCTCCCCATACTAGGGATCTCTGTCCCTAGTGAAAGTGTCTTTTCAACCGCTGGGGACATTGTAACTGCCAGCAGATCTGCACTTACTGGAGACGATGTTGATTTTTTTGGCCAGAAATATGAAGACTGAGTAAAACTTCATGCTGGAACTGTTAGTGCTGCGCTTTACTTTTTGAAAAGTTTTGTTTACTGTTTACAAGGAAATTATTTTTCATAATATTTCATACTTTTGTGCTTATTTGAGAATATTTAATTTAACTTAATAGTATTACCAAGCAGCACTTTTCACTTTTATTTTTACTTTACCATTTGTATAATGTAAAAAAAAATTATTGGTTTAATAAACAAAACGAAAAAACAACAAGCAAATGATTTTGCATTTTGTTCACATACTGTACCGAAAATAAACCAAACTGTGACCTCAAAACCGGTCACATACATACTTAACTGAACCATGATTTTATGTACCGTTATACCTATATTCATACCCATAAAATTTTTAAACTGCAACTTTCATAATTATCATGATATGATCTTTAATTGCAGTTATTTTATTTTGATAACCGTGACCAAATTTCTATATTGTCCCATGCCTATTAGGTATCATTTATTACAAGAAAGGACTGTGTATGGTTAATAATAGGTTTGGAGTTTGTGGAGGAGGTCATGCTGTGAAAGGTTAAAGTCATACTGTTTCAAGTGAGATTGAATGGGGCACTTAAACATACTCATATAACGTACAGTGTTCCCACACTGGAGGATGGAGACACCAAAACACAGGACAAAATACAGTACTTCTGGTTATGGCAAAGTATTTAAAGGGCCCATATTACGCTATTATCTAATCTATGTTGTAATGCTGTTTCCTCATCAAAAACATATCTGGAGTTGTATTTTAACTTATTCACACATATTTAACGCACAAACCCTGAAGGCAGAGTTATTCTCTCAAACAGAAAACTCTCTCTTCCACCTTGTGCATGTCACGAGGCAATACAGAAAGTGCTCCACTAAGTTTTTAAACTCCATACACCTTCACTAGAATCATTTGGATGACCATGGAAATGCCAATCTTTACTGAACTAAAGGTAAAGGGGAGCTGTTGACTTGAAGGGTAGCTGTTGAAAGCTCCCACTACATGACATCAAAAGAGGAACAGAGCATTTTGAGCTTTGGAGATGTAGACAGACTAATAATAGACATAGAAAAGAGATAGTTAAACGTGTAAATGAAAAATACATAACTCCAAATATGTTTTTGAGGAGGTAACAACATTATAGCATGGGTTAAAGGTCACAAGAGTACATTTTGCATAATACAGGATGTTTAATATTTGTCCAACACAAAAAGCAGGTATTTGAAAGTGTGGCACATTTACACTTTCATCTTTATAAGCAGTGCAACATTCAAATAGGCCTAAGCAGAGGTGGGACTAAGTCGTTGTTTTGCAAGTCTCAAGTAAGTCTGAAGTCTTGAACCTCAAGTCTAAGTCAAGTCAAATACAGACAAGTCCAAGTCGAGTCTTGAGTCACTGGCCCGTAAGTCCAAGTCAAGTCCAAGTCATTTGCTTTGAGCTTCAAGTTATTTCAAGTCTTTAAACCAAAGCATCAAATATAGCTTAGATTTTTGCCATTTATATGAATTTTTAAATAAATTGTACTGAAAAAGACATAGTATATTTATATATGAGTATTTATAGGGTATGTAAGAGTTGTAGAAATTATTTTGTAATTTTTTCCTTTTTAAATGTTTTGACAAGATCTTATTGTGAATAATTACGGTCAGAACAGAAAGAATTCACATTTAAAAGTGCTTCTCAAGTCTTCTTAAGTCACTGGCCTCAAGTCCCAAGTCACTGACCTTCAAGTCCAAGTCGAGTCCCAAGTCTTAGTCCATTTTAACAAGTTAACTCTCGAGTCCAACTTGCAAGTCCCCACCTCTGGGCCTAACCTCTCCAAAAATATGTATAATAATAATTATATTCATCAGATTACATTGAGATTTCTTTATTAAAGGTGCACTATGTAACTTTTGTGGGCTGTCATTTGCTTGTTTCTATGGATATACCATTACTCTACCAGGAATGTTCCACAGTACAACATTAAACAGCTCGACATTATATTTATTCAATTACAAGTTATGTTATAGCTCAAAAATACCTTGCCTCTCTACAGATCTGAGATGTAACTTGATCTGGTTTGATCACCATGAAGATAGAAAGGTTTAACACCATACTGTGAAACATTCTGGACAAAACAATAAGATCTCCAAGGAGAAAAGCATTTGACGGACCCTCCATCAGAAAAGTTACACAGTGAACCTTTAAGTTGATTGTGCCTATTTGACCCATTAAAAAACATGATAGTTTATCTAGGTAAGGCCGATCTCATCACACAAGCTCTAGGGTATTTGCATTCATTTGGGTGTGTTTGTCTCTCACAGATGTGTGCTCTAATTTGACCTTACTTGGCCTTGACTTGCTGGCAGCCAAACAACAAACAAGCAATACTGGGAAAATGGCAAGAACTGAGAGAGAGGAAAAAATTAAGCAAAATGAAAAGGGGGAGTGGAAACTGAATGTACAAAAAGTGTGTAGATTGAGATTTTGCTCATGTTTTCTGATATGATTTAAGATCCAAGATGCAAAATGAACTGATGTAAGATAAGCCTGAAATGAGGAAGCTTTCATTGTTCTTGTGCAGAAGATCTGGACTAGAATTAAAATGAAAATAGTATAATCAGTAGTGAGAGTGTATAGAATTTACTTTTTAAAGATGTGAATTGGGACTTGCCTGTTTATTTGAGACAGGTTTGAGCAGATGCGGTTGTGGAGGTTGCAGTTGGGCTGGCTGAGACTTCTTGGTGCTTTTGGTGGGGGTGTCAGTAGACTCCTCTGCAGCGGCTGGTGGTCCCTGGGGCTCTTTGGCGGAGCTATTCTGATAGGGGAGTCCAGGGGCGGGGCTGTCGGTGACCGTGACCTGCCCGTCCTGCTGCGGCTGAGGAGGCGCTGGCTGAGGTTGGGATTGTTGGGGTGGCACCTGGTTATGGCGTGTTCGGGGCCCACTGCCGCTGAAGCTGGGCTCGCTGGAGTCCAGGAGAATGTTTCGGCTTTGGGGACGAGTCTTGGGCGGGGTAGCCGTGGCGGGGTTGTTGATGGAGCGTTGAGATTTGAGGTGCTGAGCGAGGGAGGACTGCCGGACTGGGTGCACTGTGGTGGGGGGCGTAGCTAAAGAGGCGGGGGTCCCTGTGCCTGTAGCGGTCTGTGCGGTGACACCCATCAGATGCTGCTGCTGCAGAGACTCCTGTGACAAGAACAAATGTAAGACACAAGACTGTGAAATTACAGCTTCATTCAAGTGCATGAATGGTGTAATCAAAAACATGATTCATTAATTATGTTAATTTATTATATTAGATATGGTTGCTCAGACCCTTAAAACCAACAGCAAAAAGAGTTGTCAAATCTTCCCCCACACATTACATTCAAGCAGCCCCCAGTAGAAAATCAAATCAATCAACAGCTTGGACCTACACAGTCTGATATATATTTACTATTTTTGTTTGCCAAATACACACGCACTTGGAGCAAGTTATATTTATAAAAATAAATATCTCAATTTTAGCAGTCCATTCAAAATCTGTTTATGCCTGAAAATGTCTTGGTTAACATTGAAGTAAATCACAAAAAGTGAATAGACCATAAAATGTAAGTGCTCTTTCTGCAGCCTTATGCAGCCTTTAAATACAAATGAGTTATTCAATTTGTGTTGTGTTACACAAAGTTGTTTTTCTCTATAATTAAGTCTTTGGGGGTGTTGACTGAGTCACACACAGTGGTAAACTTTGGTAACATGATTCTGTTTGAAAGAACTCAAAAAGGTGCTCACATGTCAACTGCTGTTTACTGAAATAAAACGAAGCATGTTGAGTCAAACATATTAGAGAAACCAAGTCTGTTTTTTAAAAAGTTTATATTACGCTACGTTTTGATCTGTGTTACAGTGTTGTTTCCTCTTCAAAACATACCTGGTGTTGTGTTTTGTCTCATTCACATGTTTAACACACAAACCCTGAATATTTAGGTTGAGTTCTTCTCTCAAACGGAAAACAATCTGTTTCACTTTGTGATGTCATGTCATACAGGAAGTGCTCCACTGTGTTTTTAAACGCCATACACCTTCACTTGAATTATTTTCATCATTTCACCCCTGGAATTGCCCATTTCTACTGAACAAAAGGTAAAAGATCACTGTTAACTTGAAAACTTGAAAACTACTGCTTCATGACATCACAAGACGGAACAGACCATTTTGAGCTTTGGAGACGACAGACAAGTAAGTGTGAATGAAACAAAACACAACTCCAGGTATGTTTTTGATGAGCTAATAACATTCTAACATGGCTTAAAGCTCACAAGAGCCAATTTTGTGCACTATAGAATCTTTAAACAAAGTAACACAATAATATAGACAGCCTATTTAACATCCCATCTTTATGATCAAAGCCATGTCTAGAAAAGTGAATGCAGAAGCAGACTTAAAAGCTGTCCTGAAAGCGGCTGCATTAGGAAGAGGCCTGTGATGTTTGTTCCATTAGGGCCCACGCAAAGGACAGAAATAACTCTACAAGACAGTATCATTAAACACTGTCATTTACACAGATAAACTGTAGTAAAACACTGCAGACTTCACCATAGAGTCCGTCCAGAGGTTGTGGATATCCAAAACCCATTAGTCAAAGAACAAGTGTAAGAAACAGATGGCACTTTAATTTAACTTTATAATGAGCTACATCTTATTCTGTAGCAAACCAAACTTAAATACATTATCAGCTGCGATATGGGACCAAAGTGCAAAGTTTATAAAAAGGTGCATTAAGTAACTTTACTGGTGGAGGGTGTGTCAAAAGCTTTTCTCCATGGAGATGTTATTGTCTTGACTGGAATGTTTCACAGTATAGCATTAAACCTTTCTATCTTCAAGGAGCCCAAACCAGTCTAAGTTCCAGGACAGATCTGTGGAGAGGCGACCCCCCTCACAGTCAGAATGCCTGTTTTTCTAGGTATTTTTGAGCTATAAAACCACCTGTAATTGAATAAATGTAAAGTATATGATTAATGTCATACTGTAGAACCTTCCTAGCCAGGCTGGCACCACCTCGTACCTCGGCTCAATTTCATTTCTCTCCAGCAACTAGGTCAAGAATCAAAATACAATAGACGGTTTGCAAAAACCCCGGAAGTGCAAGATCAGGTACCACCCAATCAGCGAAGAGCCATATATTCAGTGTTGTCAACGATTCTCGAGATTGAGGAATTAAAGCCAGAATAAAGAGAATGTTTGGTGAATTTCATCAAGGGGAAAGACGTTATTGTCCTTTCTGCGGGATTTGGAAAAAGCTTAATTTACCAGTTAGCCCCGTTAGCGGCGCATTACATATGTTACAACCAAATAGCAGCGATTGGTTAAATGATAAAAAGTACCCGCCTACTGTTGAGCGAATGAAATCTAAGGCTGTGAGGTCAGACGGTTTGTATGAAGTGAAACGAAGTAAAACCGGTTGATGAATCAGGCTAGAACCTTCCAGACAGAGCTTTGATACCTCTATAGAAACAAGTTTGGTCTCCATGAAGATTGAAAGGTTTAATACCATACTGTGAAACATTCCAGACAAAGCAATAACACCTCCATGAAGAAAAGCGTTTGACAGACCCTCCACCAGAAATGTTACACGATGTAGCTTTAAACTGTACTTTGCACTTTTGCACTATCTTTGTTCAAGATTATCACAATTATGTAAAATATCCAACAAATGATTATTATCAACCATTTTTTATCAATTTACCATCCCTAACTATCAAATTGGTTCCCAGAATAATCAAACATTTATCATAATTTGGTTGACAATTATTAAATATAGTAAATTACTGTATTTTTAGGTATGTGTATTTTTCAGTCGGTACTTTTTTACTTCACTACATTTGAGAGCAGGTATCTGTACTTTTAAACATTTTTTAAACTGGACTGAAAAGTAAATTATTTTTTATGATAGTTTGAGACCTGTTGAAAACGCTGAGGGGTTTATTTAACACATTTGTAGTTTGAGCAAAAATGAATACATAAAAAAATTAAAACAGCTAGGAAAAAACTATTGATCCAGGTGTTTCTATTGAACAACATTCAGCACAAATATTTATCAAAATCACTACATTTGAAGTATTAGTTATTAGTAGTCTGCATGAAATACTTTTACTTACTACTCTTTAAGTACATTTTTAAACGGGTACTTTAATGCTTTTAGTTTTACTTCAGTACATCTTTGCTCTGTATCTTGGTATGTGTACTTTTATTTAAGCAACAAAATTAAGCACTTCTTCCACTACTGATTATTATGATATAAGTAACGCAAAAAGCTGCAATGATTTAAAAAGATGCCAAATAAGTGTCCATTTGTAGGCAGATAATTTCTTGTTTTGACTTCAGCCCATAATGCAAATCATATTAAAAGTTGAATCATTTGGAAAATATATAAGGACTGTCAGATTAATTAATAGTGAAGAGAAATGAAGATGCAGTTTAAACAGGAAAAACACTTTTGAATATTTTATTGCTGCAACTTGAATGAAGTGATTCTGGAGAAATCAAAACAGCTCTTTAGGCTTTACATTTGGAATGTCAACAGATGATGAAAATGAACTGAACTGATAGTCAAAAATGCTAAATGTTTCAATAATTTACTAACAGCAAAGATTAGATTGCTTAACTCTGGTGTTCTTTTATGACCCTGATGACACAGATTATATTCTTTGAAAACCGCCACACTTTCTTTACATATCAGACAAACTGCACGGTCCTTATACTGAACAAAAAAATAATCGGTTGTCGACTGTTCTTTGAAAACTCGCCACTCTCTGTCAACTTTTTGTACTTTAACACTCGGCATTTTGCTGCCCTTAACTGCACTACAGAACTCGTTGTTCTTGAGCTTGTCAGGTGACGAAAATTCGGTGGCAAATGTAAATACATCATATAATATAAATTTTAATAGAAAAAATCTACAAAATACAAGATGCTCACGTGTTATTATTTGCCAAAAAATTATTTTAAAAAATAGGCCATGACAACGTTTGAGGACTGCTTCATAGGGCCAGTTCAAGTGGTGGGGGCAGAGGGGTCGCTCAAAGGGCCATGTCGAGCCAGAGTCGACCCACAGGCCTTAGTTTGATGACTGAACTAGGTAGTAAATGTTGTTAAAGCCTCTTACCTTTATACCTTTACTTTACTGTAATTTTTCTAACGTTTAAATTCTAAGTATTTTTAAACTAACTTATTAAATGGGTATTGTGTATTCTGTTGTACAAGTACTAATATTACTGTGTATTATTTAGAGTGTGTATTAAATAGAACTCATTTGACACAATGCAGTCCCACAATACAGTTCTAGAAAATGATCCTGGTGTCTGTAGCCAGGGAGAAGGCAGCTGTTACATAACACACAGTGGGCTGTAAATAGACAACAATTAAGCATTTGTCCACCTGGTGGTGCTCTTTGTAACATGTAAGCCTGTACGTACAGTATAAGGACATTTTCTACACTTGGTACACTGTACAGTCTACATTATCCAAAAAACACATTCATAAAATATTTGCCTCTATGCAGTGAGAGATAGATGAGAAATAGGTGAAAACAGAAGTTGGAATGAGGAGTGGGCAAACTGGCTCAAACCATAAAATGAGGCCAAATTTAGATTTTTTCAACAACATCAACTTAACAACTTACTACTAACATGATGCATATTTCTAAACATTACGTTATGATTTATTTTTTGAAATCATGGCAGAGGCTTTAGTACCACTTTGTATTCAAGCCATAAACAAAGAAAATGAGAGGCAGGCCTTAATGAAATGAGAATCAGTGTGTGTATAACATTGTGCAAGCTCCTACCTGCACCTGTAGTGACAGCTGGTGCCAGCCGTAGTCATTGCTCTGATTCTGCCGAGTGAAATCATCACTGTAGCTGTGTGAGTGCACGATGCTCGGCTGCACCAGGCTGTTCTGAGAGCGCAGCGCCGACAGGTCTTCGCTGCGGGAGAAGGCGCTGTTGCCAAACGCCGGCGCGTAGTCGTGGTGACCGTTCTCCGTCTCCGGGGCGAGGAGCAGAGGGGGCGGGGCCTGGGATTGAGCGGGCGAGTTCTGAGCCGCCAGATGGAACAGAGGGTTTTGGAAAGACAGGGGGAAGTTCATGGCTGCTGCAGCCTGCTGCTGCTGCTGGGACAGGGACTCGGTGGGACCCCCTATGTGTCCCATCTGGCTCAAGCGCAGAGCGGAGCCTGCAGAGCCCCCACCCAGGTGACCTCCCATCCTCAGGGGGGCGCCCAGGTTCCCAAAGCTGTGACCAAGACCGGCGATAGATGCTTGGGAGGAGGTGAGCATGTCCCCCACAGAGTTTAGGTTTGAGATGCTGTTCATGCGAGAGTCCTGTAGATCCATCATGGACACACTCTTGTTCACACTGTGCACCTGAGCAACACAGAAACACAGATGGGTCAGGGATATTGTGGGATATAGGACAAGAGACAACCCCAAAACTCCAGTCACAAGACGTCATTAAAGAGATGATTAATTAGAGGTGTGAGCTAAAACAGTTTGCTCTCTTCCATATAGTGTTACTTTTTACTATTTGACAAGAGTTGTGTTCTTAATTACTCAAATAATACAAATTTAAATGGCTTCCAAAATCTCTTCATTAAAGTGTTATGATGCACCGGAAGCATCAGTAAACATGATTTTTCACAGCTCCAATAAATATTTTCACAATAGGCCAAGATGCATACAGTATTCTTACATAAACGTCTCGTATTCTTACATAAATGTCTCACTGCTGTAGAAAGTGCTGAGTCTGACTCACACCAACATCTTACTTGCCCGATTTGTCAAGGTCCTTTCAGATGAAACTGTATTCTCAAGACAGCAATAGAAGGCACTTTATGTCTCAAAACTGCTCGCCAGGATTTAAAACACAAAGGCAAAAGCCAATACAATGCCACATACTTATTTTCAAAAGAATATACTTTGTGTCTACAATAAAGTGTTCTGTGTTACAAAACTACAGCAAAAAAGAGAAAATTTAATGCAATAACTGTTGAATTATACAGAAAATGTATTTGTACATTATCTGTGTTTAATAATAACAACAAATAATAACAAATGAATGAACAAGTTTTGATCACAACAAAAAAAAAAAGACAAATAAAATTGCAATTGTGTGAGAAGAATAACTCTATATCCCTGCTGTATTTCTTTTTGTGTAATGAAAATAGATTTGCTGATAACACTAATGCAGGTCAAAAGCCCATAAACAGTGTATTTGTTGGTACCTTAGGGTCTGGTTCAGTAATGTCTGAGCTGCTGGTGCAGTAGGCGGGGCTGGAGCGGGCGAGGGGGGGGCGGGTCACGTAGAACACTTCTCGAGACTGGCGCAGGTCCCGCTCAGCGTGGCGCCTCATGTTCAGGTTATTGGACAGAGACTCCACAGCTGAAACGCCCCCCGTGGGAGAGGGTAAACGAGAGATGTCTATGGAACTGTGGAGGAGATAGAAAAGTACATTCTAGATGCATCCAGACATTTCACATTGCATCATACATTTTTATTGGCAAAACAGCTTCTGATAGTTTTACTTTTCCCTGAAATGTGCACAGTGTATCTTGGAGGGTCTGCCACCTGCTTGCCTGGAATGTTCCACAGTATGACATTAAACTGATCTAATTTATTCAATTACAGGTGCTTTTTTGCTCGATTACCTTGAAAAAACATTGTGAAGGGCTGTCCTTTCCACAGAACTGACCTGTAACGATGATGAAAATGAACTGAACTGACAATCAAAAATGTTAAATGTTTCATTAATTTACTAAGAGCAAAGATTATATTGCTTAACACTGGTATTCTAAAGCAACTATAAACTAGATAGTAAATAGGGCTGGGTACCATTAAGAAGCTGCCGATACGATACATACCTCCATACAGTGAGCTTTCGATTCGATATGATATATTTCAAGTTCGATTCAATACAGCTCAGTAAAAAAATAATTGCCAAATCATGGCTGTGACACTAAAAGTCTTTGTTAAATCACTTCTTGAGCAAAGTCAATATGAAACACAGACATTTTAATCATCAAAACAGTGAAAATGTCAAATGTGTCACGTAAAAGAGTTTCCTTCCACTAAACAAAATAACAAAACTGTAGCACTGTAACAAAATAATGCAGTAAAATATACCATAAAATACTCTTAGCGATATATTGATACAGCAGCCCACGACATTGATATTTCAATATTTTTGCACATCCCTAATGGTAAATGTTGTTAAAGCAGTTAACATTTATATACTTTATGGTAATTTTTCTAATGCATGTATTTTTAATATCACTTAATAAATGGGTGTTAGTTTTTTTTTTTGTTTTTTTTTTTTCTCAAATATCTTGAAAAACATTGTGAAGGGCTGTCCTTTCCTATGGAACATTCAAGGCAAAAACATCTACATGGCAACAAGCAGGTGCTTAACCCTCCACCAGAAAAGTTACATTGTGCACCTTTAATTTTTCTGTACAATTTTAATATGTTAATCTTAAATTGTGTATTTTTGCTGATATGAAATAGATGTGTTTTACATAAGTTAAGATAAGATTATGATGTAAGATTAAAAACTGAATGTCGATGCATGCACCAAAACATACGATACATATTTTTACTTGATGCAGTAAACTAAATCTCAACTTCTTTTGGATGATCTAACAATGCAACAGTACCTAACACTTATTTGATCACATTTCTTATGGTTATTTTTAAGCAGGATCAAACTATGATGTGTTATGCAATTGTTATGTAATAAAACATCTGAAAAGCCAGATAAAGGAAAGATGTGATGCCATCCTGTCAAACACTGTTCTCTGATCTTTGCAGCTGCCCAGATATCAGGTGTAATTCTTAATGCGCAGCCATATACTGTGTTACCTTGATTTAACGAATAAAGAAAACTACAGTCAAGTCAATGCACTTCTTTTCAGGAAATGATTCAGTGGTGGAAGACGTACTCAATATTGTTACTTAAGTAAAAAATACTCATGTAAAAGTAAAAATATCACATGAAAAAAGTAAAAGTGTTAAAGTACCCGTTTAAAAATATATTTAATGAGTAAAAAGTTAAAGTATTTCACATAAATTATGAGATCTAAAAACACTTAAAATGTAGTGATGTTGATAAAGATTTGTATTTAAATTTTGTTCAATAGAAGCTGATTTTATTTGAATATTTATGTTTGCTCAAACTACAAGTGTGTAAAAATAAACCCTCAGCAATAAAAATAATACAACAATAATAAAAAAAGACATTTACTTCTCAGTCTTGTAGTGTAATGTAGTAGAGTAGAAAGTACAAATACCTGCTCTCAAATGTAGTGAAGTAAAAGTAAAAAGTATCCATTTTACTTTACTTTAGTACAGTACTTTACTACTTTTACTTTGTTACATTCCACTACTGTGCATTGTTCTAACTAACAAAGAAAACTAGAGTAAAGGATTTCAAAATGACATAGTAAACCAAAAATAATTCTGTGTGGTTGCAACTATCTCTTGACAATAACAGAGCGAACGTACTAGTAAAGTGACACACAGAGGAAAAGAGGGAGAACAGATGGTGCTGGCAATTACCAACAGACAGAAGACGATTGGGGTTCTTGGAGACTAGTTTTTTTTTTTCAAATAACATTAATCTTGTCATATCTATTTTTACACAGATCAACCACGAAATTATGAGAACCACCACAGTCCGCGTATCATTCGTTCATTCGTTGTTCAAAATAAAACCAAAAATAAGAAACCAAAGAATAACTATTTTCTTCATTATTTGTCTCCCAAACTGTAATGAAAAAATGGATAAAGATTTGTTTTTTTCAGTTTTTGATTTTGTGTTTAAATGAATAATGGAATAAACGGATAAGAGCTGTGACTGGTTACGTGACTTAAACTCCGATGCTAGACTTTTGCGCCGCATACGGACTGAACCAGGACTAAGCCAGGACTAAACCAGGTCTAAACCAGAACTGAACTAGGATTAAACCAGGACTAAAGCTCCATACACCTTCACTAGAATCATTTTGGTAATTTTAGACCTGGAATTGCAAATCTCTACTGAACTAAAGGTAAAAGGAGCTGTTAACTTGAAAAGTACCACTACATGACCTCACAAGGTAGCAGAGGTGGGATCACGCCATTGTTTTGCAAGTCTTAAGTAAGTCTCAAGTCTTTGACCTCAAGTCCGAGTCAAGTCCCAAGTCAAAGACAGGCAAGTCCAAGTTGAGTCACTGGCCCATAAGTCAAAGACAGATCTAAGTCTGCTTTGAGCTTCAGGTCATTTCAATTTACATGACTTTTAAACTAAATTATACTTAAAAAATCATGGTATATTTATATACGAGTATTTATATAAGAGTTGTAGAAATGCTACTTTTTCCTTTTTAAATGTCTTGGCAAGATCTTAGTGTGAATTATTACAGTCAGAACAGAAAGAATTAAGATTTAAAAATGCAGTTATTTTGTTTGCACTGAAATGGAAGTTGTTCTATGTACTTCTCTCTATTTTACTATATTGTATTGTATATTACTGTAGTACATTTGAGGATACCAGATCACAGTACTTCAGTTACATCCAAAGTAACAGAGAAGTGGGAGGGACCTGTTTCAGTTTGTTCCTGTAAAATTAAGCACCACATGTATCATCTGTAAAGAAAAAAGTATTTACAAAAAAAATATATTTTTTAGAAGCATCAAGTCTTCTCAAGTCACAGGCTTAAAGTCTGAGTAAAAGTCCGAAGTCATTGACCTACAAGTCAAAGTCGAGTCCCAAGTCTTAGTCTATTTTATCAAGTCAAGTCTCAAATCCTAAAAATAGTGACTCGAGTCCAAGTCACGACAAGTCCCCACCTCTGCAAAGTGGAACAGAGCATATTTAGGTTTGGAGAGACCAATAACGCAGGATTATGCCAATGTGTGTGAATGAAACAAAACACAACTTCAATTCTGTTTTGATGAGGAAACAGTATTATAACATTTCTTAAAATTCACAAGAGACAAGTTTGTGTAATATAGGACCTTTAAAGAAAGTGATACTACATTGTGTTGAACAATTTTTTTTTTATAAATGTTTTTGACAGATATTGACCAATTCAGACTAGGAACCTTTCATAAGCATTGGTTTTACTCTGACCCAAAAAGACATCACATTGAGGCCCATGTTAAGATGACCTCAAATGTTATTATTTTTTTCTTGCTTGTAAATTCTAAAGATACACTTGGAGGAAATTTCAAATATTCACCTATCCTACATTTTTCCTTTTCCATTTCTACTGTATGTGATCACTATGAAATTTTACTGCTGTAGTAAAATTTTGCCAGTTCAGTATTCAGTATTCAGTATTGTATTTTCTGTTATGTTTGACAGATTTATAGAAGATACCTGTTGAGATCTCTCATCATAAGGCTTTGGAAGTCAGACGACATGAGGCGGTTGAACGAGGGTCTGGAGAAGAGGCGGTCCTTAGGTCTTTCTGGTTGGTGATTGGTCGGCATGTGGAGCTGGGGGTTCCTCAGGGCAACGCTTATGTCATTCAGCAGCCGAGGTAAGGGCCCAAGTTTAAGAATAGCATCCTACAAAACAAGGAAATCAAGCTCAGTTTATCCCTCGTTTTAGTCAAACAAGGGAAACTTCAAGCTGCCAACCTACTTTTTATAATGACTGTCTGAGAATAACAAAAATAGACCGGCGCAAGACAATTACATTTTCGAGTTTTCATATTTAATTATTATGTGACTGAAAAATATGTGTGTGTGTGTGTGTATATATATATATATATATATATATATATATATATATATATATATATATTTTTTTTTTTTTCATATTACATTTAATGCCACAAAACAACAAAACAAGTCTCTTTATTTGAGTCAGTGGAGTCCCAATGTTATTTACATACAAGTTATTTAATTAATTATAACATTTGAACACTGTTGTGCAAGTTACTTCAAAACTATAATGTGTTATTTATTAGTTGTTACTGTCATTTCAAAATAATTTGTTACATTACAATATTACTGCATTTAAAATGTAAGACATTACACGACTATTGCAGCACTTTTAAGTTACTCTCAAAAAAATAACTGTGAAGATGCAGAACTTTTGCACCAGATATGGACTAAACCAGGACTGAACCAGGACTGAACCAGGACTGAACCAGGACTGAATCAGGACTGAACCGAGGACTGAACCAGGACTAAACCAGGTCTAAACCAGGACTGAACCGAGGACTGAATCAGGATGACTGAACCAGGACTAAACCAGGTCTACACCAGGACTAAACCAGGACTAAACAAGGTCTAAACTAGGACTAAACCAGAACTGAACCAGAGCTGAATCAGGACTGAACCAGGACTAAACCAGGTGTAAACCAGGACTGAACCAGATCTAAACCAGGACTAAATCAGGACTGAACCAGGTGTAAACCAGAACTGAACCTGAACTGAACCAGGACTAAACCAGGTCTAAACCAGGACTAAACCAGGTATAAACTAGGACTAAACCAGAACTGAACCAGAGCTGAATCAGGACTGAACCAGGACTAAACCAGGTGTAAACCAGGACTGAACCAGATCTAAACCAGGACTAAATCAGGACTGAACCAGATGTAAATCAGAACTGAACCTGAACTGAACCAGGACTAAACCAGGTCTAAACCAGGACTGAACCGATGACTGAATCAGGAGGACTGAACCAGGACTAAACCAGGAACAAACCAGCACTAATCTTGGACTAGGATCGGGTGTCAGCTGTGCTTCGCCCCACGGACCGCGGAGTTCTGCGCCGGTCCTTACTCCTGCAGTCACCCAACGGTCTACATGGGTGCACCTCCAGGCCCGTCCCAACATTCGTAACGATGCTCTTTGACCGCTGCTGATATCATGATCTTAACTGTGGTTTAGTAAAATGTGTAGCTCAACCTGTCATATCTGCACTTTAAGGTCAACAGTGTAACATGCAAATTCTAATTAAAGTGCATATATGACAGGTTGGACTAGTCATTTTACTAAAATATAGTTTAATATTTAAGATTTTACTAAACATTTTACAATTTTCTTATAGTGTCGCAATTTTACTTCCTGGTTAGAAATCCCACACACACTGTTACCTAGCAACAATATTGTACACAGGGGCAAAACGTCTATAATGTACACAGAAACTATTATATGACAAATAAAATATAAGAAAACACTGTGACTTTGTTGAAATCATGTTTAAAAATGTGTTTCTTGTACAAATTGTGCTGAACTCTCTGAAATAAAATTCTCTATTTCCTGAAATTTTAACATTTCTCAACTTTTCTTCACAAATTGCTTTTTGATTGCTGTAAAACTACACTTTGTATTTACAACTTGTATTATCCCACCAAATTAAAAAGAAATTAGAGAATCATCAAAATCTTTCAAACGCACTTTAATGGAAGACTCATGCCCAGTGGTGGAAGGTCATAAATAAATACAAATTTTACGTATCTGTACTTTACTGTACCTTTAGAGTAGATACTTTTTACTTTTACTTCACTACATTTGAGGGCAAGTATCTGTACTTTCTACTCCACTACATTTTAGATCTGGACTGAAAAGTAAAAAGTACTTTTCTTTGTAGTTTGTGAAGCACATTTAATTTGAGCTAATGTCCCAACTTTGAGCAAACCAAATATGCAAAAACAGCTTGAAAAATTAAGAAATCAAGTCAATCACAAAAATCTGCTAAATTCTTCACTTCATGTCATCCTTGAATTGTTCTAAAAATCTGTACAAGATACTTTTTACTCTTAAAGTACATTTTTAAACATACTTGAGCAGATTTTTTCATGTGATACTTTTACTTGAGTAACTTTTTTTTTTATCATTGTATCGGTACTTTTACTTAAGTAACAAAATTAAGTACTTCATCCACCACTGCTCATACCTTGCTGAGCTGCCTCATGACCTCCCAGAGTAAACTGTGGAGCATGGACAGCTCTCGTCCCAGGTCGATGTAGCCTTCGAAGCCGCCCGCGTTCCCCCCGGTGTCCAGGTTTGAGATCTCGTACAGAAACTCCTGCATCGACCTCCACTCCATCTCCAGGAACTCATTCATGAAATACATGTACTCCTCTTTGGGGCCGAACCTGAGCAGAATCAGAAAAAGTGTGTTACCATTGATTGTAAGTGAAGTGTGCTTCCGCGATATAGAATAAATATATAAAATATACATAAACATATACATACATAAAATAAAAACAAAAATATACTGTATGATAAAATAAAGCCAATAGGTGTTAAATAAAAAAAGACTAAATGTTAAACGGCAGTGAACTATCTATTTATATCTCTTTAAATTATGGTTCTGTGTCTTCTAATATCACCAATACAAACCACACCAACCATTAGTCACTGTTATGACAATGTAATTTAGCAAATGCTTTGACATTTGCTTAGTAACGTAACAGCATAAATAATAGACTTTGCTACTTAAATATGTGTTTTGTTGTGCAGAGCCAAGATAGGAATACAGTTTGGCTTAACTCAAAGTACAATACAGTATCATTAGCCTCAGAGCATTATGTAAAGGTTTTAGGAAAAATACAAAAATAAACAGCTTAAAAGTGCATTGTGTAACTTTTCTGGTGAAGCGTCCGTCACCTGCTTTTCTCCATAGAGTTTTTAATGCTTTGTCTCAAATGTTTCACAGTATGGCATTAAAGGGAAAGTCTGGAATTTTGGACATAGGACCTCATTTCCTACTGAGCCAGAGTGTCGGAGACGTGTGGAGACATTTAAAAAAAATATTCTATCCAGTCCTTGTATTTGCAGAGGTCGCTGGTGCTAGACTAGCGCATGTCAATGGCGTAGACTGTATGAAAGAAGCAGACTAAGCGAATGTGTCGTCACCCATTGCAAATGAGGCTCACGATGCTAACGGTTACACGAACGAATCTGGAGCCAGGCTCTACATTATGAATAGGACTTTTTTGACGGATAAAAGTGAAAAATCATGGATCGTGTGTCACAGGTTAATACGAACATTTTAAGACCAAAATGATGAGGCTCACTGCAGCAGTAACAGACAGAGGGGCGACAAGATCCTAATGTAAGCCAACTGGAGCCAGGGTCAGAAAGAACTGGAAGAGCCTCCTGGCGAACTTCCTATTTGGCATGCGACAGCTAACGCATTAGCTATGTCCGCTCATATATACGGTCTATGGTCAATGGCCATAGTTATCCTGCCGCTAAAAACAGTCTTACCCACTCCACAAAGCACCCGAAGCAAAACTATTATTACGCCAGACTATCAATGTAAATGTCTGTGTTGATAGAATAATTTTAGAGGTAAAACCAAACTTGCATTTGAAGAATTTATGTCTGAGCAGCAGCAGCGAGTTGTACTTCCTGAGAGAAAGCTTAGCAGTGGCGGACTGATATATGAGAAAATAGTCCCTCAACATGCGACAACTGATGCGATGCAAAGTTAGTTTTATTTCAAACATTATTCTGTCAACACAGACATTTACATCGACAGTCTGCCGTAATAATAGATTTTCTTTGGGTGTTTTGTGGAGTAGGTAAGACTGTTTTTAGTGGCAGGAGAACTATGGCCATTGACATGCACTAGTCTAGCACCAGTGACCTCTGCAAATACAAGGACAGGATGGAATATTTAAAAAAGTGTCTCCACACATCTCCAACACACTGGCTCACTAGGAAATGAGGTCCTATGTCCAAAATTCCAGACTGTCCCTTTAAACCTGTCTATCATCGTGGAGAAAAAACTAGACCAAGTCACAGATTTATGGAGAGGTGACCCCCCCTCACAATCAGAATGCCTGTTTTTCAAGGTATTTTTGAGCTATAAAACCACTTGTTGGGGTGGTTGGTGTTGCTTTTATTTTTTATTTTTATTTTTCTGCACGGATGGAGCCAATGACACCCACAGATGCAGCAGGATAGAATGAGACAAATACTTCAATTTGGCAAAAGACTTAGACAATTATGCTACGAGGCCATCAATATTAAAATATTATTACAGAATATGCAAATCAGACAGCTCAAAAGTAGTTCTGCCTGAAAGCTGTGTCATATTATTTAAATATCACATCAACTTGGGCTGAAAACTTTCTATGACAGCATCTATCTCCCTCAGTCTATAAATACCAGGATGATGCGGTGGTTGGTTCTGACTCACTTGCTGAAGCTGGCCAGGTTCTGTATGACTTTGGCGATGAGGGTGAGGGTCCGGGACGTGCGCTCGGCGGGGTACTCCTGCATCAGATTGAAGAGCGAGGGGGACATGATGGCGGGGCACATGAAGCGAAGGAACAGAGAGGAGCTGATGAGGCTGTCTGCGAGATCCTCCCTTCCTCTCTCTGCGCATCTGGCTCTCCACGACGCAAACACTTCTTTCAACTCCCGCGGAAAAATACTGCAACAGAAGTACAGCTCTATTAGGCAACAGAAAGATTAAATCACACAGCTCATCTACTGCAGTGGCTCTTAAGATTTACTGCCAATTTATAATTCTGTTTGGAATGACTGGGAATCTTAATTGCACATATCTTGGAGTAATGCAGGACTGGAAATAAACAAGACAATAACTATTTAATACTATTGCAAGGAAATCAATACAACTCAGGACTTTGCAGATACTAAACTGGGACTGGACTTGACTAATATGGGTTAGACTTCGACTTAGAGAAACTTTATTGCTCCACACATCACAATATAATATTGTGTTTACAAAGGGCAAAAATACAAAAGGTAATAATACATTCAAAATAAGCAGCAAAAAAACAATCAGCTATACACAAGACGTCATAAGGAGAAACAGCGCAAAAATGAAATAGTGATTGACATGACAGAAGGTCATCTATTAGATAAGAGTGAGTTGTTTCACAGTTGTAGGTAGGGTTGGGCGGTAATACGGTATAAAAAAGTAGCAACGGTATCAGTTTCATTACCGTCATTAAAAAAATCTGCAGCACCTAAGAACCTAATATAATATTATAATTTATTGATACCTAAATTTGTTTACTCAACACAAATGAATGTGTGGTTGTATTTTCAATTTAATGCTATCACAATTTAAACTAATAGTATCTATAATGTTTCTTTTAACTGCATGGGGAGATGATGTCTGATTAGTTTTGTTCCATTGTCACGTGACGCTCATAAGGGAGACCAAGAGAAGATGTTTGGCTGCAAGCGAAAAATACTACTACTTCTGCAATTTAGCAGCATTTTGGCTTCAGGTGCACATTTTTTTACATTTTACAGAAACGAAACTTAAAAACCACATGCTCATTTGCATAAACTATAATGATAAATTCTCGCTGATGTGGTTCAGCTTCTGATGAACTAAAGGACACGACTCAGTGGATTATATGTGTTCTTTCTGCGACAGAGGATGTGCGGCTGACGGTGAGTCTGTTCTGTGTGTGTATTGTGTAGGAGATGGTTCATGTGAAACTTTTCAGAGATTATACGTCGCTTATACGCATAGACTGTATAGTGGTGCGCCTTCTTAGTGTGTACAGTTGTATGGAGTCTGGTATAAATGTAGTCCTGTATTTCTCACTATTTGAGCTGAGCAGTTAAACTGGACTAAACCAGACCAAAATCAAAACTAATCTTGGACATGACCACGGCAAAAACAACACTTTTATAGTCACTAAACCAGATTATGTCCTTCGATATCCCAGATTTAGTCCTGTTCTAGTCCAGGTTAAATTGTTCTACAAGTGTGGATAGTATGACTAAATAACTAAAACAAAGGCCTGTCTAGGAATGCACTGATACTATTGGTATCAATTACCATTATCAATACTGAAAATTTGCTGGATCAGGTATTGGTTCAGCCACTATCCTGGTTGGGTCTATTTACAGACTGATTTCGGCCTAGGATGTCTGACCGTGTATTTGTGCAAAGCTGTTCAGGAGTGATTTGAAGGATAAATAACAGTTACATAACATAATTAGATCTCTTGTGTAATAAGTTAACTGTGTTTTAAGGAAATAAATGACATTTTCTGTTCCTGGTATCAGTCCATATCAGTTATGGGCTGATACTTAGAGTCATAATATCGATATTGGTATGGAAATTGAAAAAGCTGGATCAGTGCATCTCTAGACCTGTCACGATAAGGAATTTTGAAGTGCAATAAATGATGATATTGAAATATTTATGCCACTATAACCCGAGAGCAAATTTAAACTGCAAAGATTATTCTATATCTTCAACACTGTTAAAAAATCATGAGCTGAACTAAATGAACAGCAGAATCAAACACTTAATATGCATCTGTAATGAGTCATTTAATTCATCTTTTTACATCTTAAATCTTATCGTATAGTCAAGAATTAACAAAAATTCCCAGTAGTGCAGTGGTAGATGAAGTTCTCAGTTGTAAGTAAAAGATACAAATGTAAAAGTAAAAGTATCATATGAAAAAAAGTATTAAAATACCAATTTAAAAATGTACTTTAAGAATAAAAATAAAAGTATTTTGCAGAGATTTTTAGAACAATAAAAGGATGAAATTTAGTGATTTTGAAAAAAGAATTTAGCAGATTTTAAGTTCAAGTTTAAGATTCAATTGGTTTCTTAATGTTTCTAGCTACTTTTGAGTATTTATGTATGTGATTTGCTCAAAGTTGGGACCTTAACTCAAATTAAATGCGCTAAAAAAAGTCTCAGCAATTTCAGCAAAACAAAACAAAACTACTTTTTAAATTTTAAGTCCAGATCTAAAAAGTAGTGGAGTAGAAAGTACAGATACATGTTCTCAAGTTGGAGTAAAAGTAAAAAGTATCCACTGTTAAATGTACAGATATGTAAAATTTGTACTTTTACTTTTGTATTTCGTTACCTTCCACTACTGCAAAGAAAAAGTACCCACGGTATTTACTGACCTAAAAATATACTGGTTGAGAACAAAGTGGCTCATTTGTTCACATATGGTCAGATGTCACCAGCAGCGGCATATGGAAAACCACTGGACCATGCACTCCTCAGGATAAAGACTCACTCATCCCTCTGCTGTCCCTGGATATAATGTTTGCTTCTATACATCAGTGTAGCAGTAATTAGAAATCACTCTTGAAGGCTGTTTGTGCACGACGCGCCCGGGGGAACAGACTCACCAGAGCGAGCTGGTGATTTTGCAGAGGAGCAGCTCACAGCACATGCGCAGGTTTGCCTGGTGATCTGCCAAAACGGACGGAGGGACACGCATCGGATCCACCTCACAGTTCTCTTCAGACTCGTACAAGGCGCGAATGAAGTCACCTGCAAAATACATATAACACATAAACTGGCATCCAATCCACTTCAATCTTTTTTATTTATAGCACATTTCACAAACAAACAGTTTCCAAAGAGCTGCATAAATACATAATAATAACAACAATAATAAATGATAAAATAAACGCTTAGATTTAACTATACTACTCTTAAAATAATAAAACCAGTAAATAAGAGCAACATCATAGAATAGCAATAAATAAATTAAGCCAATACAATACACTAAACATTAATAAAATAAATAAAAGACACACGGGACCACACAACTCACACGGTGTTAAAAGCATGAATATTTGTTATGTAATCTCAGCAATCACAATAGAGACAGGTTAATGGTCAGATCTACGGAGAAGCAAGCCCGCACATAGTAAAAATTCATGTTCATTCATTCACAAGCCTGACCTCATCAATGATGGGAAGAATATTTAGTTACACAATACCTCAATACCTGCATTGAAATGTATTTTGTAACGTATTCTGATAGATGGTACAATCAGAGAAATGTATTCTGAGTACTTATTATACCTTTACACAGAGGTGCACATATATTATAGATTAATAAACGGCTTATGTTTGTTTCATATATTTGTTTGTTTAGCATTTCATGTCAGTAACATGAGAACAAAAAACTATTTAGTATTCAGCTCTGATAAAACAGTGAGAGATACAGGACTACATATATACTATAATACTCCCTACAACTGTACAACACTCACCCTCATGTAAAAGATAATATTCCCTACAACTGTACAACAACTCACCCTCATGTAGCAAATAATACTTCCTACAACTGCACAACTCACCCTCATGTAAAAGATAATACTCCCTACAACTGTACAACAACTCACCCTTGTGTAACAGATAATACTCCCTACAACTGTACAACAACTCACCCTCGTGTAGCAGATAATATTCCCTACAACTGTACATCAACTCACCCTCGTGTAACAGATAATACTCCCTACAACTGTACAACAACTCACCTTTGTGTAACAAATACTTCCTACAACTGTACAACAACTCAACCTCGTGTGACAGATAATACTCCCTGCAACTGTACAACAACTCAGCCTCGTGTAACAGATAATACTCCTACAACTGTACAACAACTCACCTTTTGTAACAAATACTTCCTACAACTGTACAACAACTCAACCTCGTGTGACAGATAATACTCCCTGCAACTGTACAACAACTCAGCCTCGTGTAACAGATAATACTCCCTACAACTGTACAACAACTCACCTTTGTGTAACAAATACTTCCTACAACTGTACAACAACTCACCCTCGTGTAACAGATAATACTCCCTACAACTGTACAACAACTCACCTTTGTGTAACAAATACTTCCTACAACTGTACAACAACTCACCCTCGTGTAACAGATAATACTCCCTACAACTGTACAACAACTCACCTTTGTGTAACAAATACTTCCTGCAACTGTACAACAACTCACCCTCGTGTAACAGATAATACTCCCTACAACTGTACAACACCTCACCCTTGTGTAACAGTTAATACTCCCTACAACTCTACAACTCACCCTCATGTAAAAGATAATACTCCCTGCAACTGTACAACAACTCAGCCTCGTGTAAAAGATAATACTCCCTACAACTCTATCATCATATCATCTTTGCATGTTTCTCCTTACAACCTCTTGTACATAGCTGAGATATTTTTATTACTTGTTTTCTATTTTATTTTCACTTGTATATGTACATTTGGATGTAAATGTATTGTGTTTGACTTATGACATTTGTGTTGATGATAATGCTGTTGATGAATTATTGTTTAGAGAATAATAATACTGATGAATTTGAAATCTTGTTTTTATGGAAATCAGAATTAATTAATTCTGACTGTTTTAAATGTTTAATGCTGAATTGGACCGTGGTTATTTTAAGAAGACACTGTTAATGATGAAATGTTGTTGCTGTTGTTGTTAATTTCCTTAATGTATTTTGTACCCGCCCAAGGACTGCAGATGGAAAGGAGCTTGAGGCTAAATCTGGCACAGAGCATTTTTTCTGTCTGAGTTTAATGTTTTCTGTGCACTGTCCTTGTTTTAAATAAATAAATAATAATGATAATTGACATAATTATGCCTTATTTGACCCCAGTCTCTTGTTATCTGTGTTATATTATTTAGAATTTATTATTGCCATTTATCTTCTTTACTCTTTGTTATTATAATATATTGTGATGTAAATAAAGTTTGTCTAAGTCTAATAAATATTCTCAGTAGGTATATTCAGTTATGTCCCAATGCTGATTGTAATTAACTGGAAACTTGCAAAGCTTTGTGTAAGGTCCTTATCAAATAACCATACTATTAAAATTGCATTCTGTTTACAAATCAATAATGCGGGAGCTTGGGGAATAACAGTTTAATTGCGTTTTAGATTTACTAATTGACCTTTAGTTGGCCAATTTGGACGGGGTAAGTCCGTGTAAACACTATTCCCATGTGATAAAGCAAATCAATTACATGTGCAAAAGTAACGATTATATTTCAAATGTAAAATTAAGTATTTTTCATTAACAAACTACTTACCAAGGCAATGTTAGTTTGCTAAATAGAATACAATATAATGTGTTTTGTTGCGTTAAAACAAATCAATTAGAAATACAGTGTGCTAGTCCCAATCTCCCAGTCCTATTTGTATGTAATAGGATAAAGACTGAAAACAACTGGCTCATCATTCTTTGTGTGTGAGAAAATCCTTAAATCAGCTTAGACCGCTTTGCATGAGTTTCATATCTCCTCAGCACAGCACAGTGCTAATACTCGCTGTCTACTGCTTTGTTATGAAGGAAATACGACTTCAATACATGGACGCTATCATTCATACAGACTTTTAAACTGTTTCTCTTTATTATATTTTTGGCATACATACACATTTTCAATATGCTGGGTTAGTTTTTAAAAAAAAATTTGTATATGTATTTTATTTATCTAATTTAGCAGCAATAAACAAACATAAATATTATATCACATATTATATTAAATTGTTTTTATTTTATTTATTGTTAGCAACTATTTATTGTGTTAGAGTAGACATGTCAAATTCAGGCCCGGGGACCAAATTTGGCCCACAATATAATAACATTTGGCCCACAAGATCATACCAAATATGTATTAGAGCTGGCCCGCCGGCTACAGATAGGCTATAGAGACATTATTTATTTAAAATTGTGTTATTATTTTATATGATGCTTGTTCTGGATTGAATGTTTAATGTTTAATTTTTCAATAAATATTTAGTTTGGCCCACGACTTAGTTCCAGTTTTTAATTTTGGCAATCTGTGAATTTAAGTTTGACACCCCTGTTTTAGTTTTTTTTTTTTTTTTTTTTTATTAGCATTTTTAAAATGTATTTTATTAGCACTGGCAGAGCATTTGTTTATTTGTTGGTTTAATTTTATTTATTTTTTCAATGCAAATCTATGGAAATGTTAAAGGTTATAAAATGTGCTATACACAGGCCCGTCAGCAGAAATTTGGGGGCCTGGGGCAAGCACTTTCACATGGGCCCTCCTCTAATATAAATTAATAAGAAGAGGATGAAATTCTGGGTCCCTAAACCCTTGGGGCCTGAGACAACAGACCCCTTCTGTCCCCCCTATCTACTGCCCTGGACTGGATTGGAACAGCAATTAAAAAGAATAATACGTTGGTTTTGTTTTTTTGTTTAATTGGTTTGTTTTTTTCTCATTTTCTAGTAGCAAAGCATTGGGATTACAATAGGACAGTAATAACAGATCAAACTAGGAGCAGTTAAAGCCCTCCTACTACGCAGAGATGAGATAAGACACCTTATTTGAATCAATTTTTCTACCCAGGCATCTGTCATAGGAGAAGTTAAAAAAAGGCTATTTCCAGCCTTTGTTGCCCGTGTTCCAATTTTGGGAGATTTTGTTTCTGCCATCAACATCAAAAAGCAAGAAGTCAGAACTGCTGGCGTATTTCTGTGTCAGCGTATGATTTATAGCTCCTGTTCATGCAGTGGTTTGTAACCTTGCTTTTAACTCAAGGTTAGGAGTTCACATCTACCATGAAGTATTCAAATCTCTAGACACAAAATGAAGGTGTGAGGAAGGGCAATCATCATTTCAGTTTGTCAAAACACTTCTGAACAGCTCTTTAAACTGTTATTCTATTTGAATTTGTTTGGTTTGGATCTGTTTCTACATTTGTATCACGACTACAACATATGTTTAAAGGTCCTGCAAAACTGACTCTTGTGAGCTGTTAGTTATTGTTATAATGTTATTACCTCATCAAAAACATACTTGGAATTGTGTTTCGCTTCATTCACACACATTTGAATAATCTGTCTACATCTCTAGATCTTAAAACGCTCTGTTCCACCTTGTGATGTCATGTGCTGACACCCCGTACAATACCCCATTCAATACAAGGTCCTCCCCGTCACCTACAAGTCCCTCCATAACCTGGCCCCTCCCTATCTCACCGACCTCCTCACTCCCCTCATGAGGACAAAGCACTGGACCTTGGGGGACTGAGCCTTCGCCGTCACCTCCGCCCCCTTCCTCTGGAACTCACTCCCACAATCCATCAGGAATTCGGACTCACTGTAGCACTTCAAATCACTACTAAAAACTCAGCTGTTCAAACTGGCATTCCCCCATGATTCCCTTGTTTTCTACAATGTCACTTTTTATTTGTTTGTAAAGCGTCTTTGAGTGTCCAAAAAAAGCTCTATATAAGTGCGATGTAATTTTCAAAGGAACAAGTACATTTTACCTTTTGTTTAGACGAAATTGGCAATTCCACAGCGGAAATTATCCAAAGGATTATAATGAATTGGACCACTTCTTGCATTACCACATGATACTGTAAGGAGTGTTTTCTGTTTGAGAGCCTTAAATATGCAGAGTTTGTGTGTTAAGCATGTGAATGAAACAAAACACAACCCCAGGTATGTTTGTGATGAGGAAACAACATCAGAATGTAGCAAAGTGTCTCCCCACTCTCTTCTCATTTCCTTCTGAACTGTTCATTCTAAGCCAACCGAATAAGAGTATTTAAATTGTATACTTGGTTTGAGTTGTGTGGAAATATAAAAAAAAACACTTACTACAAAATGGCATCTCTTACCTATAGCTTCCTTGAGGTATCTATGACCTATCAGTTTGAGGTACTCTTCCACGGCCTTCGTCGCGAGCGTGTTTTCTCTGAAGATCAGATGCTCCCGGTCCATGAATCGATCAACTTCACACATGGCCATGTCAGACAGGAACTCCTGAGAAATAAGAAGGAACCATCATAATAAGCACGGCATACTCCACTGATCCAGGCAATTTCCCCAGAGATCTCAAGGGCAAGGTATTCACATGGTTATTACAGAAACATTTCACATCAGCTGTGAAATAATTTAGACAAGCTAGGTCTGAATTAAATCATAAAATAGGGGTTGACTCAAATCTATTGCCCATCAGATTAAATAGCCTCAAACTAATCTCAGGTCTAAAATATGATGATAATAACTGTGATTAAATGAGGGAAATTCATTCACTACATTTGAACCATCCTTCAAGCAGTGCCGCTGAGGAAACCTGTCAGGAGCAGTGAGCTACGGGTGAACAGCGCTCGGAGACCCAGCTACAGATTTTGAGGTACACTTGGTTAGGACCACCCAGCTGGAGGAGTTTATCTACTGTTTTAGGTTGATGCCATAAACAGGAGAAAACCCACCGTTCCTGTCCCTTCAGATAAATAGTTACATTTACATTTTCCCTCACACAGAAACACTTTTTAGGTTATAATTATAAGACTATGTATGTATAAATGGACATAGCTCACCCCATAGAACTATAAAAAAAAATTTGGAAGATGAATCCAAGATGACGCCATATTGGGCCCAAAAAATGTTTCTCGTCCACATTTACTTCCTCAGTACAGGTGAGCGTCTCCCACCCATGTGACATCTGTAACGATGTGGAGCATTTGGACCAATCAGAGCAAGAGCTGCTAGAGCTGCTAGAGTGAAGCTAGCATGGGCTCAGAGTTAATTTTTAGGCACTTTGAGGATTTAAACATTTTAAAAGCTTATGTTGTGAAAATAGAAAAGAATCCCTACAATATCTGACCTTTGTCAAAGTTGACGATGCTCTGTCAGCGAACACGGGCAGTTTGAATTTCCCCAAAATGCATTGTATTCTGTGAGAGAATTCTTTGTGGGCCCAAGCTTCCGGGAGCTGCACTACCTGAAGCTGCCACTAGTCAGTTTCGAGCCAGGACAGAGGGGGAGTGCCTTATCCTGTTTAGATCCATGGCCTCCCGCTAGCCGCTATTCGTAAAAAGGAAGTGAGCATGGGTGGCACTTCCAGCTCCATCGACTGGAAAATTATCATCCCTCTCTCTGTAACTGCTGCTGTGAGCCTCTTCACTTTGGTCTGCATGATCCTGGGGTTTTTATTTCGTGGTTTTGTCAGCAAATAAATTCCTATTCCTAATATGGACCAGGCGCCAAATTTTCCCCTATAACTGCTGCATGATGAGCTTCATTTGACTGGAGCTGAACGTCCCACTCTCTTAGTCCATTTCTTTTCATAGTCTATGGTTGTAATATACTAGCACTTTTTGCTATTGACACTATGATTTTACAATTTGACAAAAGGACACTTACCTTTGTTTTGCCTGTGCTCTGGAGGATGTGCACCAGGGCAAAAGCCACCTCTTCTTTGCTCTTGACGCTCAGCAGTGGCTCCAGGACGGCACACAGTGTCCGGTAGTTATTGGTGATGTACTCAGCAAACTCCTTGTACAGCTCCATGGGCAGGATGTTCATGGTCTGGTAACGGGACTTGATGCGGAGGGAGGCGTTGATAACTTTGGTGCTTCCGACTCCGCCGCTTTTGGCCAGAACACTGGACTGAATCACGGGATACCACTGCTCCACAAACTGACGCTCCGTGATGCTGGAGATGGGGATGCTGACCAGGCCAATGTATGTGCTTTTCTCCTGCAATAAATCAAAAGGGAAATACAGTATTATATTGTATAACTTTTCTGAGTTTTGCCATTTGATTGTCTCCATCAAATCTAAATGCTTTACCTGGAATGTTCCACAGTACGGCATTAATAAATTAAATAAATTTATCTTCATTCTTCAGTAACAATGCATGCAAGGTATTTTTAAGCATTAAAAACACATAATAATAATCCATTGGTCTTATATAGCATTTTTCCAGACTGCATTCCAGGTGCATTATTCATTCATTCCTTGCTCGGTGGTGGTGAGCTACTGATGGAAGCGAGGCTGCCTTCGGCCCCTCTAACCACCATCAACACTCACGCACACACTACATTCATACTAGGCAATGTGGATGAAGTTTCTTGCTTAAGGACACAATGACAATTTTTACCACTGGCGCCCCCTGTGGCACCTGATTTTCCCAGCGATCTCCCATCCTATGCCATTACACTGTGATGTGTGAGCTACTGTGTCCAAAAAATTCCCTTGTGGATCAGTAAACTTTGTGTAAGTCCATCCAAGTACTAACCAGGCCCAGCCCTGCTTAGCTTCTTACATCTGACGAGATCAGGCTTTGACGAAGAGGCAGAGTCCTGCATGGGTCCATTTTTGGAGACCACACTCACCTGCACCCGCGCAGTACAGCACCGCACCTGCCCGTTAACCAGTGATTATATCAAATTTAATGCCCATCACCCACCCGTACCCGTGATAAATCACACACAAGTTAAAAGCATTTTAACTGAAGCATGCATCAGAATACGAACTGAAAAGTTACGACTTCAAGAATTACAATCACGAAATGAAATGAAACAGTTACGTTTTTTCATTACAAATATGAACAGACGCGACTCGACTGTCAAAATATATATCATCACTTCACAGACATTATTTATTGAGCAGAAGAAACATTGATCGAGATGCTCGACTTATGCGGCGCACGCGCCACGGACTAAGACAGGACTAAAATAGGACTAAAACAGGACTAAACCAGGACTAAACTAGAACTGAGCTGGGACTCACTATTGGGACAGGTCCAGAGGTGCGCCCGCGTAGACCGTCGGGTGACCAGAGGCGAAAGGACTGGAGCGCAGCCATTGCCCGATTGCACTTTGTGGACACCCTGCTCTGCGGGCTTGGGGTCCTCTCTCTTAAGTTTAAGATTAGTCCTGGTGTAGACCTGGTTTAGTTCTGATTTAGTCCTGACCCACCTGTGTGTAATCACTACCTGCCCGTAAAATTCCAGAACGTTAAAACCCGCCCTTTTCAACAACTATTTTCCCGACCCAGTGCAAGACTCTGTAAGGAGGTTTGGCCACATGTGATCTAATGAATGAAACGTAGATAATTTTACTACAATACTATGGAACAACCTTTAAATAGGCTTAAGTTCTGTTCCAAAATAACACAAGATTCAATGAATAAAACAAGAAGCTAACCCCTGAAAAGTTAGCTGCACTGATTGCCTCCTCATAAGTGCATGTAATAATAGTCCATATTGACAGCTGCATCAGTCACTGCCTTTTACTGTCAGCTGTGGAAGAATAGAATGGCAGGTGCTATTTTCTACACTTCTGTCAACAGAGTCCCATGTCTCTTACGTACATACATATTATTACATTATTATGATGTGTCATTCTCACCTTGCGTCTTTTCTTGTCTGTCTCCTTGTACAGGTGCAGGCGAAGGCTACGAATGGTGGGCAGGTTGTTGAACTCGAAATGCTCGCCCCAGAACACGGTGTCTGTTCGGGGCTTGCTGGTGGTGCGCGCGTAAAGCATGTCATCCAAGCACAGCTCACAATAGTAGCGTTTCTTTGCAGGCAGATCCCGAGCTTCAATGATCCACAATTTGAGCACGTTGTCCACCCTTCTACTGTTGTCCTGCATGGGCGACATGGAGTTCTGTTACCACAATATAACATAAATCCATCAACTTGAACTGAAATGTCACAGAGAGTTTTTCAATCAGCGGGTTACCTTGTTGGGTTTGACAGCTCGCTGCAAATTCTCAATCCATTTGTCTCGTTCTGAAGCCGAGCGGCAGGCAAAGCATTTCGTCCCTGAATTAGTTGTCACCTAAACACAGAGAAATAAATGTATGTGATTGAAACACTCCCCACAGAGCAACAACAACAACAACAAAAGGCTTTCTATTAACATTTAATCTAGGTAAATATTTGACTTTAAAATTGTGAAAATGATACAGGTCCAGGTTAAAAGTGCTCAGATTAGCACATTTCTCTCAAGATCAGGGTTAATGTTCTATTGTTTGAGCCAATAAATATGAAACTCACTACATCTATTAAACTCTTTGTAGTTCAAGTACAAAGCAATCCACTGAAATTCTAGATATGTCATGGACTTTTTTTTATCTTGCTTACAGTTTTAACAACAAACCCAAAACATAACCAAAAAAAAAAAAAAAAAAAAAACACCATAAAATACATTGACTAAAATGAGTATGTAGTACCTCAAAGCAGTACTCTTGCCCTAAGATGCTTGAATGAACCGGTTTGATGACGGCATCTTCATCCAGAACCAGGTCCAGGGCCTCTGCCGCGGTGCTGGGGGAGAGCAGGGACTCATGGGAGTGTGACTCTTTGAAGCTCTGCATCAGGCGCGTCCTGGAGAAGAGCACAGGCAGGTTCAAACACACAGCCAAAGCAGCTAATTAACCAGTTTAATATATACGCCTCATTTAGAAGTACAAGTACTGTAGGGACAGCTCCTGTAAGTGCTACTGACACTGACAGTACTGAGATTTCAAACTCAATTTTTACACATTTTCTTTTTTCTTTTATATTTTATACCACAGTGTCTTTTTTTTTTTTTTTTGACAATACATTAAATAATTTTTTACTTTTTCTATGTGATGTCATACGAGCGCTCATCAAAACCAAAAAGAAAAGATAGCTCTTTTTTTTTTTTTTTTCAGTGTTAGAGCTACAATTGAGTTATGTAGATTTTACTTCGGGGGTAACAACTACAGTCATTGTGGCAGTTGTACCAAATAGCAATAACTTTACATAGTCATATTTTATTTTACTGACCCCTTGTGGCTGGAGTAATATTTAACTACAGAATATGAGAAACCAGATGGTGTTTAAAATCACGAACAAATCTCAACGACTTTAGTTACTTGACAAAAGTCGTGTAGAACGTATTGTACTGAGTTAAACATGTTTCAGGCACTATTGGTTTTACAGCAGCTTGAAGGAACAGTTGTTTTTGCACGCTGACCTTTGGAGGAGGCCAAGTCTTGCTCTGAGAAATAAAAGGAGATGGAGGTGGGAGCGTGAAGCCAGGAGAAAAACTAAAGCTGTCTCTGAGGTTTGGTGAGGTCATGAGGCCAAATGAAAACACACAGCCACCAAAACAGATGGCAGCAAAGCATTGTGGGAAAGCAGACACATCAAATTAAGTTTATCATTGGAACATGTTAACATTTCAGAAGCTGAGAGGATGAATGGCCAACCTGCCCCTTGGGGCACAGAGCAGCTTTATGCTCTTAATTGATTTTGTGACTGCTTCGCAAAACTTCACCATCCAGAGCTTAGATACACACTGAGATGGAAAAAAGTTGATATTTTATGATTAATGAAAGAAAATGAGGCTTAATCGTTGCTTTGAACAATATTCATTTTAGCTGCTCCCCATCTGTATTAAACATGAGTAAATATGATCTGCAAATATGATTGGCCTTTTTAGAATACTTTTGTCAAGTGGACAAGTGGAGAAATATTTTTGTTTTGGGAACACTGCAAATGTCACGTCAAGGCATTGGCTCCGGTTTTCCTAGACTTTATGTGAGATCAGTAATGTTTTATGCCTTCCACACTCATTACCAATACTAAGATATAAAGTTATGGGTTGTATTGGTTTATATAAGGCCAACTAAATGATTCACTGTTGCTAAAAAAAAAAGTGTGAACACCAGTGGGGCTGAATCGATGTATGCTAATAACTAACCTTGTCTAGAAACAGATCGAGTTCTACTTTTGGTATGTTGGGGTGAGAATGAAAGTGTAGAAGACATTAGTCAAGCCATGCATACAACACAGTGCTATACTGAAATTATACTGATATTGTCTTGATATGTATCACACAAACTTTTATTCTGTCTTTATGCGTGGTCCTTTGTCTTTTATTTATTATTTTTTATTGCTATTTTATGATTTTTTTGCTTTTATTTGCTTTTATTCTGGTTTTATTGTTTTAGGACTGGTGTGATCAAATTTTTAGCAGCCTTTTGTTCACTGTGCAGCACTTTGGAAATTGCATTGTTTGTAAATGTGCTATATAAATAAAATGGATTTGGATGTGTAAGTAAACAATTTCACATTCGCAATCTCATTGGTAACCCGTATTTGTTGCTTTAGTAAATATTTTATTAACAGAAAAGGTGAACTGAAAAAGCAAATGTTTTATCATAAAGCAAAAAGGTGAGTATAACACGGTGCACTGTGGTTAGCAGCCGCTTTGATCATCAGAAAGAACATGGAGACAGCTCAGGAGACAGCTCTACCTTTGAAGACATCTAATAATTATTCAGGATTCACTGAGCACTCATTTAAAGGCAGATTTTCTGTTCAGTGGTCAGCGCCGGCTCATCATGTAAAGAGCTGACAGTGGCACCAGAATCACAGCAGCAGAAACTAGAAGTGTTTGGCAGCCGAGGGAGAGCAGCTGGGTTGGAAATCACAAGTGTGAAGTTGGATCTGGGATTTACAGAAAAGTCAACTTAACAGCACTGAGCTCTGAATTAAGTGAGTGGGCAGGATGGGCACCGCTGAATGAGGCAGCGTTAACCCCAGCGCGCTCTGAGGGGGAAAGGTAACGCGCTTTTACATTTAAAATGAGCTGTGGCTGCACTTCGCCTGAGACCAAGTATTACCAGGCACATTTTGGAAGAGTGAACAGTGAACTGACCCATATCAAAAATAAAATGTCCAAAGTAGGAAATAGTACTGAAGGTTTGTGCTGTTTGAGAGTTAGTATCACTGTATTTAAAATATTTGGTGAAACAGTAAGCCATGCGCAATTTACTACAGTACATGCATCCCGAAGTTTCGGACTTCCAGTCATTGCGCAATGCATACTGGGAAGGATCCTCCCTGAAAAAGTGATTCTGTGTTTGATTTCACAGCGGGATACGCCTATCGTCAAAGCCAATCTTTTCAAGTCTTTTCAATCATGTCACTTTTGTTTCTGGTTCTGATATTGTCATATTTTAGTTACGTGATTTGGACATCATAATTGTGTGGTTATTGGATGTCCTAACAGCAGAAAACGGCTCAAGAAATGGGCTTCGGAAGTTTGCGAACTCCATAACTGCAAAAGGGAATCAGATCTGTGTGACTGCAAACCTCCATTCAAACTGTTTCCCTTCCCAATGGAATATAAAAACAGTGAAAGGCAAAGGCGATGGGCAGTATTGATACACAGGAAGGACCAAACAGGTAACTTTTGGCTGCCTAAGAAATCATCCCATGTTTGCAGCGAGCATTTTGTATGTGAAGCAAAGGATCCTTCCTAGTATGCATTGCGTGATGACCGGAAGTCCGAAATTCGAGATGCATGTAAACAAATCTACTAGATATTCACTGTCACTAAGGATGGATCAAACTAAACTGCTGCATTTCAGATGGCATCACAACATTCTATGCCAATAATATTTAATACAAATTGGCTACATACTATACAGCTGCATACTATTACATACTGAACTACATAAAACTCTTTTCAAATCATAAAATATTTTCACTTGTCCAATATTATGCAAAATTGACCCTTGTGATCTTTAAGCCATGCTGTTACCTCATCAAATACACACCCGGAGTTGTGTTTTGTTTCATTCACACATTTGAGTAATCATTTATTAATAGTCTGTCTACATCTCAAAAGCTCAAAAAGCTCCGTTACACCTTGTGATGTCAGAACTCAGCTTAAATACGCAGGGTTTGTGTGGTAAAGGGACTGGAATTTTGGACATAGGACCTAATTTCCTAGTTAGGCAGAGTGTTGGAGATGTGTGGAGACACTTTTTTAAATATTCCATCCAGTCCTTGTATTTGCAGAGGTCACTGGTGCTAGGCTAGTGCATGTCAATGGTCATAGTTATCCTGCCACTAAAAACAGTCTTACCCACTCCACAAAACACCCGAAACAAATCTATTATTACACCAGACTGTTGATGTAAAAAAAAATAAAAAATAAAATAAAACTAACCTTTCATCGCATGAATCGTCACATGTTGAGGGGCTATTTTCTCAGCAGCAGCCGAATTTTACTTTGCAGGTAAGATAGGTGCTAGGTGATATCAGTCCACGGCTGCCAAGCTTTCTATCAGGAAGTACAATTCCTTGCTGCTGCTCAGACATAAATCCTTCAAATGCAAGGTTGGTTTTACTTCTAAACTTTTTCTATCGCAGTGTTTCCCAAACTTTTTTCTGGGGAACCATATTTTAAAAGTCACTAACCTTCGCGACCCAAGTCAATGGATATTATTCGTAAATCACAAAATAAAGGTGGATTTGACCATTATTGATCATTAATGAGGACATTTTATTGTTGACTGGGTGATCGTGTCTCTCTGAACAATTAATATTACTCACGTTTTAAACAATGAAAAACAGTAATTGAAGCAGCAATAAAAGGATCGCCAATTTGGACATTAAATGTAGCCCATTTCTTTTTTTTTTTCAACATTCAATGAACCAGCAATATTGGAAAAAATAGTCAATAAAATAATTACAAAAAGATTAGAAATTATACATAACATTTCAACATTTCTAATGAGATGGGTGGGCCTGTCTGAGTTTTTGTAGCATGTTCTAGTCCAGGGTGCAGGAAGAGAGTGCAACACACAGATCAGGCGCAGCATTCAGTCTGTTTCTGTACTTTGGCTTCATTTTTGTGAGCAGACCTACATGCAGAACGTGACAAGGCGACCCCAAAAAACATCTTTTGTAACCCACCTTAGGGCCGCAACCCAGTCTTTGGAAAACAATGTCCTATCAACACAGACATTTACATCGACAGTCTGGTGTAATAATAGATTTTCTTCGGGGTGTTTTGTGGAGTGAGTCAGGCGTTTTTAGTGGCAGGATAACTATGGCCATTGACATGCACTAGCCTAACACCAGCGACCTCTGGAAATACAAATACTGGATGGAGTATTTAAACAAGTGTCTCCACACGTCTCCAACACTCTGGCTAACTAGGAAATGAGGTCCTTTAAACTGTGTGTGAATGAAACAAAAGACCACTTCTGGTATATTTTTGTTGAGCAAACACTAAAACATTGATCAGAAAATAGCATCATATGGGCCCTTTAAGCTCCAAATCTCTCTCAGGTGACATGCAGTGTTGTGCTTTCAAAACAGGCCTCTGCTTTCCTCCATTAGAGCATAAGGAATGAGATAAACTGTGGCTTCCTCCTCTGCTGTATTGGACATGTATTGCACTTGCCCCAAAAACGTCTCTGGTTTGTCTCTGGTGGCGTTGGGAAACTGTTCTGTCAGCAAACACACACACTTCTCCGTCCTTACATTTCCCATATGAGTAGCGTGACGGGAGTGTGTGAGGACTGCATAAAATTTTGATCACAACGCAAGATGAATTCCGCCAGGGTGTGACCCAACGTCGGGGCCTAAACCAGGGAGAAGCCGTCACGAAGAAGCCACGAGCGCTGCCAGGAATGTACCACACAAAATGGTGGAAACTGCACGCCAGAACCACCAGTATACACAATGAGTCAGAGCTAAATCATTTATTTAAAGGTGCACTAAGTACGATATTTATTGCAATAAATATTTAATAGGCTAATATAATTGTAGATGGACATACCTTGACAAGATTTTGATGTGAATTATTTCTGTCATAATCCCAAGAATTCAAGTAAAAAACATATTTCTTTATGTTGTCTGAATTGAAATGAATCATGGGATATGTAGTTCCCTATGTTTATAAGCTGATGCGACTATAAAACCATGCATTTAAGCAAAGGAACTTGTAATTCGATATATTGTGACAGCCCACGATATTACTCTGAGATTTTGACAATACGATATCACGATATTTCGGTTATTGTTACATCCCTGCTTAATATTATAAAGCATGTTATAGGAGAAGACGGCCAGCACAGGGCAACCTTCACCTCTCAACCAGCCTGAGGATCAAGACTGAAACCATTATGACATATACTGTAAGTTCATCAGTTAAATGTGTAGTGCAGGGTCAGATTCATACCTTTCTTGGTCAGCGCTCCGAAATCGTGGTAGAATCATTTGCTTGAAGCTGCTGGTGCGATCCAACTTAGGCTGACTCTTGGCCCTCTTTGATGGAGCCCTTCAGCCTCCGATTTAGGAAGCTCTGTGGGTATAAAAATAATGAGAAAGGCAGATGTAAAGACAGTAGACGAGAAACATGAGATAAAAAATATATATATATTTATTATTTACTATAAGTCGCACTTTTTTTCATGGTTTGGATGGTCCTGCAACTTATATTCTGGTGTGATTTATATATTAAAAATTTCACACAGACACCCTCGAGAGGGCGCTCTAGGCTTGTGTGTCAGTATCTGCTGCTCCTATTACTCCTGTACCACTGTCACCTCACTCTACTGCGCATGTCTCCTGCAGAAAGAGCCTCTGTCCTGTCTATATCATGTCAGTCGATTGCACCATTACTTATGTACCACTGAAAATTTAAACAAACATAAAGACAACCAAAACCATCCTGTCAGGATTCAGAAAGGCCAGAATAATTCTAGCTGGAACTGATGCTGAGTCTGACAACAGGTACGCAGAAGAGGAAGCGGTGATCCATTTATCTCTGGAGTTGCTCAGAAGTGACAACGAGGATGAAGAATTCAATGGATTTAGTGATTTGGAGTGAGATTGAGAGTTTGGTAAACTTGTTCTTTTGTTTATGCTATAGTTATCGGAAGAACTGTTCATATGTGATGTTAACAGCCTGTTGTTCTCTGTTCTATAGTTATTACTATAACTTGCCTTTCAAGATGAAATGTCAGTTCCTGGTCTCTGATTTTATAAAAAAATTTCCCCCAAAAAGTGCAACTTATAGTCTGGTATGACTTATATATGTTTTTTTCTTCTTCACTATGCATTTTTTGGCTGGTGCGACTTACAGTCCAAAAAATATGGCAAAAAATTACAAAAAAACTCAAATTATTTATGGGACTAAAAGTCAGTGTACTCACCGGCTGCCTGAAGGGCTGTGGGTTGGTGTTGGGAGGTGTCTCCATGCTTGACTGTCTTACAGAGGCAAAACTTGCCCTGCGAGATTGGTCTAGAGAAGGAGAAAATTAATAGATGGACAAGAGACGTGAATTAACATTGGGAATAAATGAAAAAGTTAACACAGATGAAATACCAATACATTTTTCCAGTAACATAAAGAGACTGCGGAGGAGATTAGTGAAGCTTACCACAAGGACAGACAGCTACAGCCTCAGGAGACAACACAGAGTCAACACTGACATCCTGAAGACACTTGAATACCATGTAAACTTTTCTCTCCAAGGCTCAAAGTGAGTGATGTGGCGGCCATGTTGAGCCTCTATATAGAACAGGATGTGAGTCATCTAGGTTCAACCTGAATTTGTGCAAACTTTAAACCTGAACATATCAATAAAAGTATAGCCGGGCGTCTTTAGGGAAGGGCTTTTTATAAGACTGTCTAGAGCCGAAGATCAGATCAATGCAAAGCAATGCATCTAGTGAACAAGGGGAGTGTTACACAGCTCCATACACAGATTACCTCTATGGGGTGTATGCAAGAGACCATCTACAACTATTCCTGTCACAATAACAAATTTTGTAAAGTAAATATAGACGATAAATGATGATATTGAAACTAATTTATGTCAACACAATACAAAATAATTCAAGGGAGGATTTAAACCACAAAAACTAATCTAGATATACAATATTGTTAAAAATAAATAAATAAATAACATATAGGAGTTTATATAAAAGTTATTAATAAATGTTTTACAATTTAAATTTAGCTAAATCAAGCCACACGATAAATATTGACCCCCAAACACATAGTTCCAGCTCTCATCTACAGAACAATAAGTCGATATCAGTCGCTCACAATCACATTTCTAGTTCTGACCTACAATGTGACAACAAAGATCATTTATGACAAGTTTTCATTTCAAAGAGTCACAAATCTAAAAGTATCTGTTTCCCAAAGGTAAACCAAGAGCACAGGTGGATCATACACTCAGTAATCAAAGTACTGCAAAACAATTTCCATAACAATACACAATGTACTAGCATATTCAAATATATTAGTGACGCAACAACTACTCAGACTTCTATTAGGATAGTACTACGCCACAATGACTCCTGCTAATACAAACAGTCACTTTGCAGCTGTTGTGAAAAAAGACCTTGCCACTGGCTCCATTTGACCTTACATTGAGAAACTGTCACTCCTCTCTCTGTAAGAGCTGCAGTGAGCCTCATCATTTTGGTCTTAAAATGTTTGTATTAACCCGCTCTACATGATCCTGGTGTTTTGGTTTGTTAAATAAATACATTATACATTTTATCGCAAACTAGTTTTTTCATGAGCTCTGGCCACTGCTAGTAACATTACAGAAAATACAGGATCTGGCTGTCAACAGAAAGCAAAACAATATGTACGAAAATGAGAAGCCCGGTCAGGTGCGCGGATGTTATTCATACAAATAAAACAAGAAATAAAGTCTGCTCCAAAACATATGGGGAATCCACGCTTACCTTCGATAAGGACTGTGACAGAGACACGTTTTGCAGCCCTGTCCCCAGCTGTTCTCACTGCTCCGAGCTATTGTTATATCCATAAACTCACGGAGGAGAGTGCATCACAGCAGGACTCATATCTGCCTCACTATTTAAAAGATATTTCTGCTGCTGGACTTATTTTCTCCACTAAAAGCTTTAGCTCTGCCGCGCCACATGTAAACAAACAGCACCATGTAATGACGTCATCTCCCTTAGTACAGCAGCGATGGGGCAGACAAACACAGTCGGAAATAAAGATGCAATTAAAAAAAAAAAAAACATTCGCACAAAGAAAGCCTATCCACTTTTCTACATTGGTAAGAGTATTAAAATGACTATTCAAGGGACAAAAATGTATGATTAAAGCCTTATTCACACAGGAAAAGTACAACCTGGGGACGTCTGGTAATTTGCAAATTACCGCCCCACCTCTGTGTTAGCTGCAGCACATTCGCACGGGATAAGCAAAGACCATAAATTACTCTATTTTACTGACACTGACTGAGATCGAAAGAGAAAAGAATGCGGAAATGAAAAAAAGAGGTAGAAAAGGTGCAATTACAACAACAAACACTGAGATGCAGATCGGCACCATTCTGGTATTACCGGATGTCTGTGTTCGAGGAAATCTAGTACCGTATTTTCCGGACTATTGATGGCACCTGAATATAAACTGCATCAGCTAAATTTTAACAAAATTTTAAGATTGTACATATATAGGTCGCACGTGAATGTAAGATATAGGTGTCCACGTCTTCAAGAATGTTTTCAAGTTCAGGTCATCTGCTTTTATCGCCTCTGAAAGCTTTTGTCGTCTTTTTGCATTGAGTCAGTTCGTCACACTGCCGTCGCCAAAATCTCACTCTCCCCACGCTCTGTGCATGTCTTCTGCAGAAAGAGCCGCTGTCCTGTCTGTATCATGTCAGTGTCTTGGAGGATTTCAGCAGATTTCAGACTCTCTCGGTGGCTAGGTTAGTTCTGTCAATCAGGTATGAGTAGATGTCTGGCTACTGAAGTTTGAGACGTTTCTTCTCGTCATTTACGCATACAGTTTAGACGTATCCCCCTCACTTATTTTATCACACGACGATAAAGTAATGCAGCAACTTCTTGTTAATCCTAGATCCATGTGTAACCTGCACAGACAGCGCCGTTTTCTATACTCGGGCTGCACGTATCCGCTGTGTTGCCAAACCATAGACCGTATATATGAATGGACAATGTGCCAAACTAAGAATCCGTCCATATATTAGCCACAGAGTTCAAAGAGTGAGAAAAAAATTGCAGCTTATAGTCCAGAATTTACGTCATTTGTAGTTTTTACTTTACAAATTACAGACATTACTTTTTACATTATTACAAATCACCAAAGGTCCAGAGGTAATACTAATCCCGTGCGAATAGGTCTTAATTTGGAATTAAGCGCGAGGTAACTATGACATTTATGAAAATAATCGCAATCAAATATTTTAATCAATTGACAGCATTAAAATAAATAAATTCCTATTCCTAAGTGCTCCAAATTCGTTCCTGTAATTGCCAGCCTCATGAGCTTCATTTGACTGGAGCCAAGTGTTGTGGGTGACGTCACACTCCCCACTGTCTATGTTTGGCACTGATGTAAACATTCATAGGTCCGTCTTGTGAAACAATAAAATCACATTGTGTCTGTCCTTGTCATTTGGTTCTCACAGCGGTACAACATGCTCACATTTCCTTGGGACTATTTGGGTCTGTGATTGATTCTTAGGGGCATTTTTAGTCTTTACCCACAAGACAGTGCGCTTCTCTTTTCTTTTTTAGAACCAAGAATCAAGGCACTCTGTCATCCTATGATTTCCGCGCTCCCAAAGCCTGTAAATAGGCGGCTTTCCAGGTCCTAATCTGAATCCAGCTAATTGTTTGGTCTCCATGGAAACAACTCTGAGCGCTTGTACTTGAAATATAATAGATATCATCACAATATGGAGTAAAGAACAAATGTTATCACAAAACATGCGCGAGTGAACTGGATAAAACCTATTTGTTACACAGAGGAGAATCTTCCTGAACGAGACTGAAAAGATTTAGTTAGAAGCAAAACGCAACAACTCACAATCACTTTACCAGGAAAATGAGTGGTGCGTTTAACATATTTTGGATTTTAACCCCAGTGTTTTGATCTCCTAAAATACGTAGCTTTCAAAGTAAAACGGGACATTAATCCACGGATATGTTCACGCAGGGCTATTCTGAATGTAAATTGCTGTCAGGAGCAGAGTGTGTGGGTGGCTGCAGCCTCTAGCTAACTGCGATACAGAGAAGACGCGGAGTGGGTGTTGGAGAAACATAGTCAACCTTGAGCATACATCTCTCTATTAATACTCACATGGACGGACATTTGTAAGGAAATCAATTGTAATGATTTCAAACATGTATGACGTTTTCTCAGATAAATACGCGATGTTGAGCCCCGAGAGATTAGCATAATGTTGGAAGGAGGAGTGTCAGCACTGACTTAAGGAGGTGCTTGATGACGTTCTTGTGTGACCTTAAGTGCTTTACATGGGCTCTCGTCGTGTTTATATGCAATCTACCAGTGTGTGCTTTTGCTAAAGGCTTTTCATCATCTATTAAGTAACAGCTGTAAATGCAAAATAATTCCTGACAAACAAATATAAAGGAAAATTTTCAAAAAGGCCGACTGTTTACCAGTTTAAATCAAATATGTCCCTTTTACTAAATTTTCAGTTTTGCTTTTCAGAAAGCAGAAAGACTCTCACATTTGAATTTCCAGTTTCACTGTTGAAATCCTGTTGGTTTAATCCAGTCTGACTTTATTTGTATAGCACATTTTACTTAGCTTGATTCATCAGACGGTTTCACTTTGTGGAAACTGTCTGACCTCGCAGCATAAGGATTCGTTTGCTCAACAGTAGGTAGGAACTTTTTTTATTTAACCAATCGCTGCTATTTGGTCGTGAAGTATGTAATGTGCAATAACGCTCAGTGGTGTCCAAGTAATTGCCGGCACAACAGCAAATAAAGCAGCGAGTGAACTGTCTGTCCACAATCATTGTCGTTTCTGCGAGATGAACTTGTGCAATTAAAGGTGCAATAAAAAATTTGAAGTTTGTATTTGACTAAGGAAGTCCAAAGGAGGATAGCGTATGCAGTCTGCTATCGCAACTTGGGTTGGTTCAGCTCTTCACTGATTGGCCGGTGCGTGGTCTTGCAAACCGTCAAGTGTATTCCGATTCCTGACCTAGTCGCTGGAGAAAAATTAATTGAGCGGAGGCACTAGGTTGCACCAGCCTGACTACATTTTAACAACACAGTCTCCAAAGTGCTGCACAGAGTAGGCACAATATAAATGAACACAGTCAATAAAATAAAGCATAAAATAAATACATAAGCAAGTCAATCAAAAAATACTAAATTTAGCAAATAGAAAAATAGCTAATAAAATCAATAAAAGAAAAGGCCTGGTCACCCCGGGTTTTTGAGTCTCGTTTTTGGGACGATAAGTTGGAG